GGGGGGGGGGGGGGGGCATCGGATGGTCGCATCGATAAAAGCTAGGGTGGGCTTCCGGTGCGATCGGAAATGGGCATATTATGTATGATGGGATCCACAACATACTTAGTATTAGCCACAAGCCCTTTTGTAGCGGCGTCTGCAAACCGGATTGCTAGTGGTAGAAATTATTGAGTGGAAGGTAGGTAGGTTAGAACAGAACTGCGGGGTTCTCGAAAATTCGCGCTGTGAGCTTTTTTTTTTTCTGTCTTCGGAGTTGAACCCGAAGGAATCAGCCTTATGCAGTTAGGTAGCGTAGCTGTAGCTGTAGTGGTGTGTTCGTCTGAGTGTGGAAGAGTCATCCTGCAAGAAGGCTCGGGCCGAGGATAGTCGGGCAGCTAGGTTCGGCGTGTCATCGTCCGTCAGGCTTGATGTGTGGGGATGTGGGATGTCTTCATAGTAGTTGGGGATTGTCGGTTGAGTGCGTTTTGTGTGTGAAGTTAATAAGGGGGTAACGGGAGATATTGCTAGTGTACGTTTACTGGTGCGATGGGTAAGTGTGAGTTGATCTTTTACTATGTAAGAGAGAGCCGCCCTATTTTATCGATTTAGAGGGGGTTCCCGGGACGGGACGGAGCATGACGGGAAATTGACCATGTCACACTGTGTACGGACGAAAGAAATCCCATGCTTCGTTTGTCGTAGGTAACGGCCGGAATTCAATGGCGAAATCCGGATGTCAGGATTGGCTCTTCAGTTCACTACATAGTACACTACATGTGTAAAATCTCGAGTTCCTTCGCCCCTTGGTGCGTCAAAGGGTCTCAGAGAGGAACAAATTCGAAGGGTTCCCTTCTCCTCGAAGTAGTCCAAAAGGGGCAAGAGTTGGCGGGGCAACCCCTCGTGGGGCAGACCCGTGGAAGCTCCGGGTGACCCACCACCTAGCGGCCCTGCTGCGCGTTTGGGCGCGTATGGCGGGGCACTCAGACATTGAACCCTCCACAGCAAAGCACATTGGATCTCAAACTCTAACCTTTCCCTGCACGACATACCTCCTTTACCAGCTCCCCCGAACGCCCCGACACCTTGCTGCATCGAGATGCAGCGGAAACAGGGACGAGGGCCCTCGGGGCTTCAGTCTCGGCTGAAACCCGTTGAGCTCGACCCGCTTGCCGAATACGGTCTTCCTTCGAAGGGAGAGAAGAGGTAACCCCACCTAATAATACTCGGTGCTTTGTCTCTTGTTGGTCTCTATGATATGATATTCTGACAATGCCGCTGTAGACTACTCGTGCATAAAATCCAAGAATCCTACTACGCCCTGATTGCCTCGCGATACCTAGCCTTTTGCACCGCTGCTGGCGACCGTGACAATCTCCAGAAGCAGTTTGCCGGGCTCTCCCTCTCCAACAACCTAAGCTCTTCTTCCTCAGCGTCACAACAACTTAGCGTAGACCAACTGCCCTCACTACCCTCACTCACGGCTACAGCGCAAACAGCATTGGCAGGAGCATCTGCTTCCTCGTCTAAACCCGAAAAGCAAACGAAATCGTCCAAGAAGAACGCAGCGACGGAGGCCGAAAAGAAAGCGAGCGCAGAAGAGAAACAAAGGGATACCCTTCCCCAGCTCCTGTTCGCGCTGCGTAAACTGCGCGAGGGTCTCGTAAGCGCTGATCGGCGTGACCATTTCGCCGCGCAGGTCTTTTTGTTTTCTGTCCGGCTCGGTGTCCTCACGGGAGCCTACGAAACCTACTTGCCCGCAGGGCTGCACCTGCTACGATGTCACGGCCAACCACATGATCACAGCCTCGACTACGCAGGCCTCCAACCACCCCCCAGCCGCGGCTCGTTGTATTCCGTTTCCTCCTCGACGAATTCCGCAGGCGGGGGTGGTGGTGGAAACACCGACAGCCCAACCCCAGCCGCATCTCTCACCAGCGTCGAACACCACGAAGTAGTCAGCTACCTCGTCCTAGACGCCGCCTGCCGCCGAAGCGACCTCTCCGGTGCCTACGCCCTACGCAACCGCCACCGCCACCGCCCACCTTCCCCGCAAGACGACCCCTTCGAGCAGCAGCAAGCCCTCAGAAACTCCCAAACCTTACCCCCACCACCACCCCCACCATTAACAGCAGCCCCACTCCGCGGCGACGACAAACACGTCGACGCCGCCCTAGCGGCCCTCGTCTCAGACGACTGGGTAGCCTGGCGCCGAGTACGACGACAAGTAGACGGGTACCGGGCACGGCTGATGGGGTTTGCGGAGGCGCGCATGGTGGGCCACACGCTGAAGGCGTTCGCGCGGGCGTACCTGACTGTGCCGCTGGCGGTGCTGGAGGAGCAGACGGGGTGTGAGTGGGAGGAGTTGAGGGGGACGTATGGGGTGGGTTGGGAGAGGGAGGGGGAGAAGGTTGTTATTCGGAGGGTGCAGGGGAGGTAGATGGTATGTTCATGGTTGGTGGGTTTTGGAGGATGGGGTTCGGTGGAAGGGGTTGATGGGTTTTTAGTGGAAGGGGGAGTGAGGGACGGCGTTACAAACAAAAGGAAATATTGATACCCTGGGTATATCATATCACATATGGCGTTTGAAGTTTAGGGGGGCACGCAGAGGTAGAAGACAACTGTAGAACACGACGGAGTCGATATCTACCCCAACAAAGCGAATTTGCACTTCTGACGCTCAAACCACGCGTGTGCACTTCATCGCTCGGGCCCATCTTGGTCACACACAAAGCATCAGTGTTTGACTGTATGCGGCTACACACATCGCGGCAGCTCCCGCTTCCCGCTCCCGTTGTTCACCTCCCTTGCGCACAGACAGGGATCGATAGTTAAGTCAGGGGAGTTATGTAGACAAACAGACCGACAGGCAGCCTGTCGCAAATTAAGATATCATACAGTATGTTTGGTTTCTCATGTACATACCCCCCAAAAAACACAGCTATCCGATAAACATATGCATAGCGCAGCGCTTCCATTACACATTCATCCTCCTCCCCCTTATCATCAAAATCACGTTCAAATCAACGCATGCCCTGTTTCTTCCTCCCCCCCTCGCTCTTACTTCCCATGCAGAAGCTAAAGGCAAGGGAATGGCAAAGAAATATCAACCCCCAACTTAAAGCAGCGCAACAGCAGCCATAATCCCACCAACCGCCCCCAGCCCCGCCGCCGCCGCCGTCTGCCGCGGGCCATAGTTGGTGCTGCTCGAGCTCGCGTTGTTCCCGCTGCCGCCGGCCGTGCCGGTGGGCGCCGGGGTGGTGGTGGCTCCGCTGCCAGTGCCAGACGAGGAGCCAGTGGTGGTCGCGGCCGCGCTGCTCTTGCCCGTGGAGGTGGCGCCGCCTGCGCCGGTGGAGCAGGCGACCGCGGTCGGGAGGTCGTTTACGCCGACTGCTTTGCAGATCTGGTTTGGGAGAAATTAGGTCAGTTGGTTGGGGTTCTAAGACAGGGGTTGGATAGAGAGGGATAAAGGGAAGAACTCACGTTGGCAGCAGCAGCGACGGCCTGCTTCTGGTCGGCCTCGTTGCAGTCGCCGGCCAAGCAGCAGGCGATCTCGCCGAGGAAGCTCTTGTCCCTGCAGATGCACTCGACGTCGCGGCCGCAGTTACCGATGCCGCCCTGGAGGAAGCTGTTGGCGCAATTTTGCTAAATAAGGGGGAAAGAGAGGCAATGTTAGTAAATTAGGCGCTTCGTAGAAATCTGTCGTCGGTTGACGGTGAGGGAAAAGGGACGAAAGACGTACAGCGCAATCGGGTAGGCCGAGCTGGGCGGCGACTAAGCTGGAGCCCGCGAGGGCCAGCGTGAGGAAAGCAGTGAAGGTCTTCATGGTGGCGGTGGTTGGTTTTTGGGGGTTGTTTACGGTCAATTGACTGTGACGTGGAGGAATCGAGAGAGTCGCAAACGATGGATGATTGAGAATCAAACGGTAGCGTAGTTATCGGCGCAAAAAAGGTCTCAACAAGAAGTCACGGAGATGCGCGGGAACGAGTTGGCCCCCTGTGTGTTTAATACCCCCGAGTTTGGCCCCCCGGGTTCCCAATTCCCGTTGCCAGCATCACAATGGAATCCAATGGGGGACCTGGAAGCTTGCATCCCACTGATCCCAGGCACACAGGCCCAATGGAACGGTCGCACCTGGATCTGGAGGTCGAACCGGCCAGCGTGCGGTGTGACTGGCCCGTTAGCTTGGGGATGTCTCCACTGCGGTAGCTCCAAGCGGAGCGATGTGCATGGCAAGGGCCATTCCGGTCCTGCCGAAAAGGGACTGGAACTGCCCATGACGCGCACCTGCAGCTTTTTCTCTCTTGGACCAACCTGAATCGATTTTTGTCCTTTGTTTAACTAGTTAGTTGTGGAAATGACAACTTTTTTTGACGAGCGCATGCGTTGTTGGCGTTGTTTTTCAGACTGACACACTGGACAGATACACTAGACACCAATCCAAACTCAATCCTCATACACGTAAGCTGCCAACAAACCAGCTTCGAGATATTACACCAGGGATGTGTCTGACATAAAATGACAATACATCCGGCTGTGCTCGGGGGCACGGCTAGGTAGCGTAGTGTAGAACTTGTTCATCGGTTCTCGGGGCGATCCATACCTTGCACCTGTGTTGGCGATGCACGCGACCCTGCTGTTGCATTCAACTGCGGAGAAAAGACCGCAAACAGCCATGGCAGTTGATTAGCCTCAGAGTTTACCAGCAACGGCCTTGTTCTTGCGAGGCTTGCGAGGCAACTGAGAGACACTAGGAGGCTGCCTGAGCCGGCTGAGTGTGGGTTGGCAAAGTCGATCCTCCCAGAGACTCGGTGTGATGCTTTGCCCTTGCCTCCGGTTTATTGGCCGTTCTGGAACATTGAAACTGGCCGAGCCGGGCGGACTTTCGGGGACTCGAGGATTTGCGATTCCCCGGTTTTTGATGCGCCCAGAGTGGAAACCGAAGTAAAAAGAAAAAAAAAGCAGGGTCCCTGATTTCGATCTCGCCTAGCCTTTTCGAAGAACCGTGCGGCGGTGAAGAACATGCAGGAATGCCCTCTCTTGAGCTGAGAGAGGAGGACACAGGAAAAGATCGAAACATCGTGAAACACCACACAAACCACAGAATGGGTGTGCAGCGGCATTTGAACAAGTTGATTCGGTCTCGGGAACTCGGCGGCTTGCATTGGGATCCTCGCTCCCCCGCAGTTTATCCCCTCGGATTGGCCCGCAGCAGCGGGCGATTTAAGATTGGGGACCAGCCCCGCCCGACAGCTGCAGCCAAGCTGGTTGCTTTGACGGGCCGGCAGCCGTCCGGGTGATGGTGTTGTGAACAAGCGCAGCCAAGCAGAGCTCAGCAAGAGCTCGAGACCCCTGTTTGACAGCAGCGAACCCCCGAGCCCCCACCGGTAGCGGCGCAACAGGGGGTATGAGAGGGGGGGAGACTTTTTGGCTTGGATTTCCTCATCTCACCAGCCGTTCGCTCGGCAATGGTACCTCATGTCCATGGCACGGATGCGCTGAAGGATCTGTCTGCCTTTCAACATCCAACACCATCCACGCCACCGATTTGTATCTGCCGGAGCCATAACGGGCACACTGCCATGCGACACCCGTGATCGCCTGGTATCTTGAAATTTCGCGGGCCTAAAACAAGACGAAACGGAATAAAAAAGGCGGGACACGCGCGCGCAAACTTGGGCAACGTGACCGGGGCTTGAAGGCTTCGAGATATCAAGATGGGCTTGGGAATTCTCGAGGACAGGGTCCTGGAGGACGTGCCAGGTACGTGATACTCACCACGCGATTGAGACATAACATACAGACGTGTGTCTTCGGCGTTCACTAACACCACGCGCGCATCGCAGGAACCACACGCTACTTCGACGACCCCGAGCGACCGCAATACGCCACCGACGGCCACATCGCCGAGCACCTCAAATGCGACACCAGCGGGCCCGTCCCAATCATCCTCGTCCCGCAGCCCTCCGACGACCCCAACGACCCCCTCAACTGGCCGCTATGGAAGCGCGACCTGATCACCTTCATCCTCTCCTTCGTCGCCATCCTCGCGACCTGCCTCGGCCCCATCCTCGCCGCCAACACACTGACCCTGACCCTGTACTACAGCGTGCCCTTCACCAAGGTCGCTGACCTGACGGGATGGTACCTGCTGGGCGTGGGCATCGCCGCCTTTATCTTTGTGCCGTCGGGCCGCATCTGGGGTAAAAGGCATCTGTTTGTGGGCGGGACGCTGCTGCTGGTGGTGACCTCGGCGTGGGGCGGTGCGTCGCAGGGGGAGGATCGGTATTCGAGTATGGTTGCCGCGCGTGTGTTCCAGGGCATTGCGACGGCCCCGTTTGAGTCGCTGGTGAATGCGGCTGTGGGAGATTTGTACTGCGTGCATGTAAGTGGTTGATCGGAATGGAGTCATCCCGCGGGTGTATCTAGGGTAAGGTCTGACTGAGAGACAGCAACGCGGTATCCGCATGGCGTTCACCAACCTCGCGGTCTTTGGCGGTGCGTTCTTCACGCCCATCCTCGTCGGCAAGATCACCAACACGATCGGCTGGTGGTGGACGTTCTACCTGGTGGCCATTTTCTGCGCGGCCAGCTTCCCCATCCTGTTTTTGTTCTGCCCCGAGACTGCCTACCGCCGCGACGCTCCCCCGGAAATCGATCTCGGCTTCCTAGGCAACGGCGACAACTCGCGCTCCGCTGCTGCGGGGCCCTCTGCCGGTAGTGCCGCCGCGCCCGAAGACGTGGAAAAGTCGGCCGCCAGCAACGGCAACAACGCCAACGGCGCCGACGGTTCCACCACATCCCCAGCGTCCCCCGTCAAACCCGCCAACCGCCCCAAGGCCACCTTCAAGGAGTCCCTCGCCCTCTTCAACGGCCGCAAGACGGACGAAACCTTCTGGAAGCTACTCCTCCGGCCGCTCCCGCTCTTCCTCCAGCCCGCCTTCCTCTGGGCCTGCCTAATCCAGGGCTTGATGATCGGCTGGACCGTCTTCATCGGCGTCATCATGGCCCAGTTCTTCCTCGCCACCCCGCTGTGGTGGGGCGAGGTCGACACCGGGTACGCCTACACGGCCGCGTTCATCGGCGCCATCATTGGGTTTGTCGTTGCCGGTCTGTTGTCGGATTCTAGCGCGCGGTTGTTGACCAAGTGGAACAATGGCATCTACGAGCCTGAGTTCCGTATCGTGCTGGTTATTCCCCAAATGATTCTTGGGTGTGCCGGCCTGTACGGGTTCGGTATCACCGTGGATGGACTGTTGCTGGGGCAGTACCACTACGCTGTTCCGCTAACGTTCTTTGCGTTGGAGGTGGCAGGGATGGTTATTGGTGCTGTGGCTAGTTCGCTGTACATTGTTGATGCTTACCGTATGTCCTTTTCCCTACCATTACCACTACTGACAGAGCTTGCAAGGTGGAATACTGACATGAACACGCAAAACAACAGGCGACCTGGCCATCGAGGGCTTCACTTGCATGATCATCTTCAAAAACATTTTCAGTTTTGCGCTCACTTTCAAGGCCTTCCAGTGGCTGGTCGCGAGTAGCACCCAGGCCACGCCGCTGTTCAACATTCTTGCGTCGATCCAGGTCGCTGCGTGTGTGTTGAGCATTCCCATGTGTAAGTTTTTTTCTCTCTTTTTTTAATCCTACTCCTAGCCCGTGGTAGCTAGTGGGTGGAGGTGTTTAGTAACGTTACTGACTTGGCTGTGTGTTTAGATGTCTTCGGCAAGCGGATTCGGTCCTTCTTCCACCGCCATGATTTGCTTGAGATTTTCAAGGTTCGGTAATGGCCAGTCAGGTTTATGACTGATCTGCAAGAATGACGGTTTTGCTTTTTTGTGTTGTGGTTACGCCTGAGGGTGTCCACCCCTGGAAACGAGGAAGAGTTGGACATAGCCGGTTTATTTTTGCGTTTTCTTTGGTTTTTTTTTTTTGATCGGCTACGGCCGTTTTGCGATGTTTTGCATCTATTTTTTGCCTCACATATTATATCCACCTACCTTACTTAATACTGCTCACTTGTGGCGCTTCTTCGGCTACGAGGGATGATGACCTACGAGGAAACATAGGAACTAGGCGCGCGGGGAGTATACCAGTCAATGGACGTTATTTACGATGTACAATGCAATGGCGTGTCTCCTTACTATGTGAACATCGTCGAGTCGATCAAGTTAGATTAGGCTAGGCTTACATGCTAAGCTCAAGAAAGGCAGTAAGTAGATCAAGAACTAGCTCGCCATAGCTAGATATCAAACAACCATCGCCGTAACCACAAACAACGAACCCAACCGTACCCTCCCCCACTTACACCTCACAACTTCCCCTTCGCCTTCCTCGGATCCTTCAAATTCTGACTAACCACCCCCTCCACCAAATAATCCGGATACTTCATCCCCGGATCCAACCCAACCCCCTGCCCGCCCTGTCTCCTCCACCCAGCCCCATCCACAATCAACGTCGTCCCACTCACATAACTCCCCGCCTCACTACACAAAAACACCGTCGCATCCGCAATATCCCTTACCCGCCCCCACCGTCCCGTCGGCACCCCGCGTTCCATCTCCCCTTGCTCCTGCAGCGAACTCGCCAACCGTTCCATTCCTTCCGTCCCTGCGATCGCCCCCGGCGCGATGCAGTTCGCCGCGATACCCAGCGGCCCGTACTCGAGGGAGACTGACGCGATGAGGGAGTCGACGGCGGCTTTGGCGGCGGAGACGTGGGCTTGCAGTGGCATGCCGGTGTAGTGGAAGGTGGCGGACACGGCGAGGAGGCGGGAGGGGGCGGTGTTGGTGGGGGTGCGGTTGGCGGCGGCCGAGGTGATGAGGTGCGGGATGGTGGCTTTGATGGTGTTGAAGGTGCCCAGGGTGTCGATGTCGATTACGACTTTGAAGGCGTTGGGGCTGAGACCGGAGATGGGGGAGATGAAGTTGCCTGCTGCGCCGGCGCTGAGGGGGGGTTGTCAGTACGAAGAATATGGGGAGTAGAATGGAAGGGGAACGTACATGACATAGTCGATGGAGCCTAGTTCCTTTGCGCAACGGTCTGCTGCGGCTTTGAGCGAGTCGAACTGTTCATCCGGCGTGTCAGCAGTCAGTAGTCAGGAGTCAAGCGTTTCACCGCTCGCTCGCAAGGGTCGAGAAAACTCACGTTCCGGACATCGACGTTGCCAATGCCAATCACACGGGCGCCATTACGGACTTTGGCAATCTCCTTGGCCGCGGTCTCCGTCTTTTCAACGTTACGGCCGATGATGCAGGCATTGGCACCTAGATGGACGAGAGCCCGGGTTTGCGCGCTGCCGATGGTGCCGGCGCCGCCGGTGATGAACAGGACTCGGTTGGCTGTCGCATGTGTTAGTTGATGTGAGGCTAGGAAAGTGAACGGAAGGAAATGTTAAGGGAACAATACCAAATATGCCGTCGGCCCAGGTGTTGCTGAGGTACTCGGATTTAGGAATCGACATTGTGCTGCGTTCAGTACTCTGCTGCGTTGGAGGTGTAGTAAGACGAGAGTGGACGGTAACTTTTGGCTGTGGCTGGGGATCACCAAATAAGCATGAACTTCAAGGGCTGGGACTTGGAATGTGAAACGAGGAGTTAAATATCAATAATCAAAAGAATTCCGGAATTCGGAGGTTCATCAAACACCCTCAATTCCGATATCAATCTCACGACTTCGGCCGTTTTGCTGCTTGAAGGAATGCTTTCGTCGGAGTTGCCTACGCATCACCTGAGCCCCAGACGGAACCTCGGCTAGACCCACTCGCCTGCCGGCTGCCGTGATTTCGGCTCCGGGGAATACTGACCGCCTTTTTCAACCGGCAGAATTCCTGCATTTCACCAGTAACGACGCGCACTTCGTACCGGTACCGAAATCACCACAATCGGATGACAAATATCTCGAAACCTAATCTTCATAAGGTTCATAGAAGTCAGCTTCCCTGGCACTATAAAGTACCTTCCCTCATCTTTCTCAGGTCAGTTATTTGGAACACTGCTGAGCACCAGAACAAAAGGGCGGTAGCCGAATTAGGACATTCTACACGAGGACTCCATAAATGCTTGGCACTTTGCCCCGCCAACCCACTCAAAGCGAACCTCACACCACCAATTTACGCGATCAACACCAACGGCGATCGGCATCGCGTTTCCACCAGGATCCGTCGGCGTTTGCTTTGCCACTCACCAAACACTGTGCAACCCGAGTTGATTCTTGCGTATTGAGATCAACCAATCGGGTTGGTTCATTCAGTCAATCGCAAACGCGACCATGGCGCAAGACAGTGAGGTCGCGGCACCGACAAGGAGAAGGTTCAAACGGACCGTTCCGCGAAAGCCATTAGCTGAGGCGGAGTCAACCCTGGGAGATAATGGCGACGACCTGGATTTCTTTCGGCGGTCGAAAGATGTGTTTACTGAAGCCGAACCTGAGCCTGAACAAGACGACGTAGAGAACCAACATACCCCTAATGGGCGCAAGCGCAGGAAATTATCGTCGACCCCGCCGGCGAAACCGTCGCGGAGTCGCGAGCCATCGACGGTTGCCGATAACTCGGACGACGATGATCTAATCATGGATGTGAAGGGGAAAGGGAAAGAGGTCATCCCCGCTAGGAAACTCTCAACGCCAAAGATGCCTTCTTCCTCTGCGCACCCACCCAGCACGCCCGGCTCGAGTGGCGGAACCCCAAGAAGACCAGGACTGCGAAGCAGCGGTCTAATCCCCCCAACAGCCGCCATCACCGTGATCGACTCCGACGACTCTGACTCCGACAACGGGCTATCAACCACCACCAAAAAGCCCCCGCCCAGCTCGTCCGCCCCCATCCCAATCCTTTCCGACCTCGAGGACAACAACACCGACAACGAAACAACCGCCACCACGCGCGTCCCCGAGGCTGTCGCCCCCGACGAATTCTCCGAATGGGTCACCAAAGCCCGCGCACTCCAACAATCCCCCTCCCAAGAAGCCATCGTCAAAGTGATCATCACAACGCGCATCCCCGGTCTCGAGAACCACCCCCTGGTGATCCGGCGCCGTCTCAACCAGGGCGTGCGCCTCCTCGTGGACGTCTGGCTCTCCAAAGCCCAGAGCATTACCGACATGCCGGCTGGTGCGGCCGCGGGAGGAAACAACTTTTTCTTGACGTGGAAGGGGAATAAAGTGTATCGGAACAGCACGCTGGCGTCTCTGGGCGCGTCGGTGGATGCGAAGGGGGATATTGTGGCGCCGCCGGGGGAGGAGGGGTATTTGAGTGAGGGGATTCATTTGGAGGTGTGGACGGAGGATGCGTATGAGGAGTTTTTGAAGGGTCGTGGACAGGCGAGGGCGCTGAAGTTGGGGGTGATTGGTGGTGATGGGGTCGGTGGTGGGAATGAGGAACAGGGTGGAGGGGTGGCAGGGAATGGGGAGGAAGAGGAGGAGCTGGAGGCGGTAGCGACGCAGAAGAAGAAGGGCATCCGGATGTTGCTCAAGGCCAAGGAGCATGAGCCGGTCAAGCTTACGGCGAGGGACGAGACGAGCGTAGCCATACTTGCTGAGGCGTTCCGCACGCAGCGGGACATTGGGGCTGAGTGGGAGGTCACGGTCTGGTTTGATGGGGAGAAGTTGGAGGAGGATACGGTGGTTGGTGATCTTGATGTTGATCCGGACGAGGCGAACCAGCTGGAGGTTCATGTCAAAAGGCGATGAAAGGACATTATGCGAGGTGAAAGACGGGTGGGGGGTTGGTTATGGCCGAAATACGAGAGGATATGAGGGCGGCGGCCGTGAAACATATGATACCCAACGAAGCTCACGATAGCGGGGAGCAGACTGTGTCAGATTTGCTTTCTGATGATTGATGTCTTAAATCCACCGGATTTTATCTTTAGGAAATCTAGATACTTGACCGGGTATGGAAATGGATCTCTTTTTGCTTCGTCAACGCATGCCACTTGTTTTGAAAACACAAGTAAGTACTCCAAACGCCGTTTCCCAACCATGTCCTACTTGATGCTTTGCCCATTCATCCAGCCCGATTTTAAAACCTCTCCTTCATCCGCGAAGCGATTATCCTTAGGTTGTTGTAGACTTTGCCAGGCTGGGCACCGAGCACCAGCGAGACGATGCTAGTGAGGGTTAGCAAGGCTATATTTGTTCGGTCAAGCGCAGAGCAGACAAACCTCTCACGAGCCATGCCAATGTTTTCAAAGGCTCCAAGGATGTGAACCCTTGATCCGGCGAGGACGATACGGGTTTTTGTCGCTGAGAAATAGAGTTAGCTATGATGCTGGCGACTGCCCTGATCTCTCCTCACTTACCATTCTCAATCGCAAATTTGGTTTTCTATAATTTCGCCTGTCAGCACTCATCCATCTTGAAGTATGCTTCGCCCCGCAGCAAGGACAACATACCCCGTCTTTACCCGCAATCCGCCCAATAGCACGACCCAGCGCGTCTGGCCCAAGTGTTTGGCGCACATCCTTGATGTCAAAGGACTGGATATACAGCGAATCGAGGCGCAACAGGGCAATGGCGTCGTCGAGGTCGAAGCCCATCGCAAATGCCGACACGAAGTCGGCACCCATCTGCAGCGCGTCGTTGGAGGCCGTGAACTTCGAGGATCGCAGCTCTACCCGCTTCTCCTTGATGTTCATGCGCACTTGAAGTTTGCAGTGATCGACCAGGGGTGGGTAGCTTGGAATGTGTTAGATCATGGGGGGTTGGCTGGGATTGGGGGAGAGGAGACCTACATCTGGTGGATGTCAGTACATGTCATTGGTGTAGAAAGAAAGATGGGAGATCTCAGTGGAAGCAATGCAGTCATACCTTGGACCAGTTGCCCTTCAACGCTGACATCCGGTTTGGTGGAATAGGAATCTTCCGTGTCTCCGCGCGACGAATGGGATCCTGGAAAGGCAAAGCTATCAGCCAAAGACGGCCTCCCCAATTGTGCAACTTGTGATCCAAACTGCCATACCACATCCTGCCCTGGCGCAAACTTCGGCCGCCCCTCTTCATCAATCGCCATTTCTGTGTCATCGGTAGCCGCTGTCGGAACAACGGCGGTGGGATCAACCGCTGTGTTGGCCTCCTGCATATCGATAAGGAGCTCGTCGTCTTGTTCGGGTGCCGAGATGGGAGTCGCTTCGGGGGCCGCGACAGGCTGGATGAGTGCTGTTGGTGCAGGCATTGTGACTGTCGTAGGTATTTCCAACCAGTATGCCCTCGAATATCGCTGGGAAATCTGGGAATTCGAGTTCGAGGAGTGTGGCGGGGGTCGGGGTTATCGTCGTCGGTGACAGTTCTGTTTCACCGTCAAGTATTCCGTAGATGGTTCTTCTGGTACGATTTTGGTGGTGGGGTTCGAAATTCAGTCAAAAAACTTGTGGGTCTCCTGGCAGAATTCTAATCTTATCCATTGGCCGATGGTCCAGCCTTCCCAGAGAATCCCTGCATCTTTTTCACCACCGCTTGCTGGGGGTCAGCGTTAGCGTCATGCCCCCCATCGGGCAAGCCTCCAAGATTTCGTGCTTCCATCGTTCACCAAGCGCTGTTGCTTCCATGCCTTGCGTGCGTGCCAGCAACACCCCTCCTTGTACCTTACCTAACCTTACCATACCAACCACCTCCTCCTCACGCACCTCAAATTTGGGAGCAGCCACAACAAAACACAGGCCGCTGCCGACGTGCACAAACCCTGCATTTTGCGGCTTCGACAATGACTTGAATGAAGCTTGAACAAATCAGCCCCCACCCGAGGTGCACATTGCGGCAACAGCATGTCTTTCAACAATGACCTCTAGCGCAACGACGACCCAGCTGGGCCGCCAGCTCTGGGGCTCAATCCGCGATTCCGCTACCGTCCTAGCCACGAAACTCCCGACACGACCGTCACCGTCGTCTGCTGCGGGGCAGTGTTCGTTCTTTTTCAACACCCCACCGCAGTCGGCCCAGCACACCACCACCCGCTTCTTCCACTCTGCCCGTCGCTTTTTCTTTCCCCAGCTCCCGTATCCCGCCCGTATCTCACCCCAAAATGTTCGAAAGAGCTGCACTTCCGGCGGCCTGCTCCTGCTCGGGCTCAGTTCCAGCCCCTCCTCTACCAGTACGGTGGTGACGACATGCACGGCCGCCGCAGACTCGGCCCTGGCCGGAAGTCCGGGACAAAGGGCCAACCTGAGCTACCTGGCAAGGCAAATATGGAATCAGCAAAGCCGGCACGGTAGGAATGGTTCAGGGAAACAGGATGTGGTGGCCGGAAAAAGATCAAAAAGTTCTAATGGGAAAGGGAATGGGAATGGGAACAAGAGGAGCAGGGCAGCCAGCACCGAGAATTCCACTGCCGGTGCTCAGAAGCCGAAACCTAAAACATCACAACAACCGCCCGCCAAATCACCAATAGTCCACGATCCAGCCGAACCAGAGTCCCTAGTGAACTCGATGTCCAAATATTTGCACCTCCCAAATATGCCCCATCGTCCCACAAAAGAGGAACTATTAGCGGCAGCTAGTGGATTCAGGCAGCGTTTAAGAGTGCGCTTCAAGTGGTTTTCCATCAGGAGCATGCGGCCATGGAACGCCGATGAATGGGGTGCCTTTGTGTCTTGGTTCTTGTTTGGACATCTTGTGTGGATTTTGGTTGGAACGACGACCTTCTTCTCCCTCGTGATCCTTACCATTAACACGGTTTTTGCTCAAGGTGGGTCACCTCAAAACGGCCATCTTTGGATGGATTATGTTTATACTTGAAGAACTTACTGATTGGATTGTTCAGAGACCCTTGCGAAGTGGATTGGTGACTATCTCACCCAATCTGCTGGTTTGACTGTCGTCTTCGAGTCAGCTATTGTGCCAAAATGGAGGGACAATGTCATCACCTTCCGCAACGTGTTTGTCTCTCGCCGGCCAGGCCAGGGGCGGTCAACAGTTCAAAAGGGTTCCTCAAATGCTGCTGCAGAAGCTGCCGCAGCGAGGCTAGCCGACCCTGACGCGGCTGCCGCGGAAGAGGAAGATGACGGCAACTACACCCAATTCGATGTAACGATCGACACCGTGGATGTCACACTCTCTTTCATCAAGTGGTGGAACGGCAAAGGGCTCTTGAAGGATGTCGAAGTCAAGGGCGTCCGGGGCGTGGTAGACAGGACATCCGTCCAGTGGAGCGCTGAGGGCCTAGACCCACACGACTACCGACACGAGCACAACCCAGGAGACTTTGAGCTGGACCATTTCAAGATGGAAGACCTGCTGGTCACCGTGCATCAGCCCCACGGCTTCCGCCCCTTTTCCGTCTCCATCTTTTCCTGCGACCTGCCCCAGTTACGGAAGCAGTGGCTCTTCTATGACTTCCTCTCCGCCTCTCACATATCAGGCGCCTATGATGGCTCCCTGTTCACCATTCACCCTCGCCAAATACACGGCGTCGCTTCTGGGGGGGAAAGGCGGAAAGACGAATTTGCGGACGAATCCGTTTGGAAGAAGTTCTCCCGTTTACGAATCGACGGACTCAAGATCGACCACTTGAACCGCGGTGTTGAAGGACCATTTGGCTGGATCTACGAAGGCAATGTCGACATTGTGGCCGATGTGATGTTCCCAACGGACCCTGAAGAGGGAATTGGGAAAGTCGTGGCCGAGTTCTACGACAAGATGGAAGAGGCCGTCACCAGCAACCGGTACATCAAGATCCTCGAAGACACGGGGAACCGTAGCTACTACAAGTTCCAAAATGGTGTCATCCGTAACTATGCGTCTGGTATCAATTTCATCAACAGCGACAACGACAACGACAACAACAACACCAAGAACAACAACAACGGGACCGATCCCGCCAATATTCCTCCCTCTTCCCCACTCGAAGAAACCCTCGCCTCACCCTCCTCACCAGCAACACCATTTAGAGACCACGGACTGTTCGACGCGGGCGATCATCACGATGACCGTCCACACCACCAACCACCCGAGGAAGAAACACCTTCCTACCTCGTCATGGACCTACGCATCCACCTCAACGACGTGCGCGCTGCCGTCCCACTCTTCAACAACCCGCACATGAGCTACGTCAACCAGGCTCTCGTCCGGCCCATTGTCGCCTACATCAACGCCAAGCGCACGTACATCCCCGTCAACTGCCGCATTGTCAAGCGGCTGACGGACTTTGACGGCTCCTGGACGGTGTGGGACTCCGGCCTGATGGATGATACGGGCGCCGAGGTGTATTCTGCGTTTGCGAGGAGTGTGGAGGACCAGCAGAGCCGGGTGAGGAGGTTTAAGAGGGTTGGGTTGTGGACGGTGAGTCTGATTGTGCATGCGCTGTTGGCTGGGGTTGCGGGAGAGCTGGCGTGAGATCTGGAATCTTCTCTTCTCTCTTGCTTCCCTGTTTGATACTGTGATGCAGTATGCCGTCCGTCCCATGTACGAAATGAAGGGATATGTGTATAAATAAAATGAAAGAAACCCGGCACACGCCTGGGTGGATGAGTACATGAATGGGTTGGGGTATCCTGGAGAGTCTAATGATTAACGACTTGGGTTGGGGGAGGCGCACAGTTCGTCTAGGTGTAGAGGTGCGCTCTTAGCGCCTTGGGTTTTCCAGTCCTGGGCCAAATATAAACCGCCGACAGAAGGCACCCCGAATGATCACTCTCTCAATCAACTCCTTTTGGGCCAAACGTGATCTTGTTTGTCCATCTAGTGGAGCAAGCTTCCATATACCCTATCGGTACTGATCTCGCCAACCATATTCCCCTTAACTCCTAGTGAGCAACGCAACACACCACGGGGTGGGTTGTTAATTCCCTATTCCCCAAAATCTATCGCCTGTCCCATGTATATTCCCACCGCGAACCACCCACCCTACCCCGCTCCCACCCTCGGCTCGGCAGGCAGGCCCTGAAGCGTGGTGTTTTGTCTGGACGCAACGGGCCGTCTGCCGAGAGCCCAACGAAACCCCATTGTGGACGATGGCAGAAGTAGCCAACGCTCATCAGAGCTGTGGGGATTATCGATAGATGGGGCGCGCTCAGCAATTCATCCGACACTCTGTGGCGGTCTTCACATGAAGTCATCGCTAGAAACACGCGTGGTTAGCTCACAGGTTGCGGCAGGTCAAAAAAAGGCCCGTAGATCGTGTCACTTACTCGCCAAAGTTACCGTCATCAAACGTATCCATCTCCGCCCCCACGCCACCGCCACGGGCAACACCGGCCAGTGAAGTCTTGGTCTTGGCCGCCTTGCTCTTCTTCCCTCCCTTGTCGGCCGCCTTCTCCTCCTTCATCTTCTCGTTGCTGAGGGCGGTAAGGGTGCTAGCAATCTTCTTGATCTGATCACTCGGCAGATCCTTAGCCAGCTGCTTGGTGAACTCCTGCAGGAACAAAGTGTAATGCGCCTTCTTAGAGCTGTTGGCGAGGATGGGGCCGAGGATGTTGCGCAGCTGTTCGAACTGCAGCTTCGTCGCGGGCTTGAACAGCGGCAGCGCCGAGATGTCGACCGTCTTGGACGGATCGCTCGCGTCGATGGGGACCGCGCTGCCGGCGGTCGTCGCCTTGCGCCCGCTGCTGATCCCGATGTTTCCGAACAGGTCTTCGGCGTGGCGCAGGTCGGATTCCTTCTCGGTGCGGCGCAGGCGCTCGCGACGCTGCGCCTCGGTCTCCTCCTCGTCGCTGTCTTCGTCCTCGGCGTCGGCGCGGGCCTGAGCGCGCTCTGCCTGGCGCTCGGCTATCCGTTGAGTCTTGCTCTTCTTGTTGGCGGCGGCTTCGGCCTCGGCCTTGGCCTTCGCTTCGGCGGCCTTCTTGGCCTTCTCGCGCTCGACCTCGGAATCTTCGGCGGCATCCCATGATTCTAGGACCTATGGCCGCAGTATTGTTAGTTTGGGCTCTGGGAGATACGTGGCCGGAAGGGATGGGGAGGGAGTGTGGAAAAACGGTCGTACATCGCTATCCTCGGCCTCTTCATCGTCGAACTTGCGGCGGGCGGCGCCTACGACGGGGGAGTCCGGCGCAGAGCTTGACTCCTCTTCATCTTCTGCAACGGTTGCGCATTAGTACTGATTTGAACCTCGAGTTGAAGAAAAATCCGCCGGCAGTCGTGTTTGCGCCGCCATACGGACTTTCCCCCATCATCAAAGGGATGCCCCGCGTTAAAATTGTGGACTGTAAAAAAATCGCGGGGTAAAAGGAACAAAGGAGACTTACCCCACTGTTTCCTTGGGCCAGGCATGATTGCAGGTGTGTTTTGGTGAATGGAAAAGGTATAGGATCCTGTTTAAGCCCCAGAGGCAAGATTTGGCGGAGATATAAAAGCAGAGTGGAAGGTTGGTGATAAGGCTTGAAGTTGGGTGGCCTTCGAAAAAGTTGTTCAGGTCCAGGTGCCGCTCAAGAAGGCCTGTGGGCGATTTAGGTTTGCCCCTGTCAGTGTTCCGGCATGTCGTCCCTTGAACCCCACCAAAGGTCCGTCCGATCAAGATAAACACCACCACATTGCTGAGACGATTAACTCCCTCCCGAAATTCCCCATTTATCCTTGCCAATGTTGTTTCACTCCTTCGTAGTTTGCTTCATGGCCGGCTCTCGTTCTGTCCTCTCATTCTGACCTCTCATCCTTCCCTACCATTTCAGTCCCGTTGCTGTGAAACGATCACCGATGCCCAAAAGTGACTCCAGGGTGTGTCGGTATCATCAACGACGGAGAGATATTAGCATTAGCGTCACCCACCTCTACAAGAGTTCATCTGGAACTATCCATCATCTTCGCCGTTGGTCTGTTCATTTCTTGGTTCCCTTTTGAAGAAAGGACTGCCTGTTCGCGCCCCAGTGTGCCACATTCAGCCTCAAGCACAGCACCAGGTCCTATGGTAACAAATGCTACTGTGTTTCTTCGGAAATGTGCCGGGTTTGTGTTATTCACCGTTAGCAGCAGTCTAGACCCCACTGCTCCGCCGAATCCGCCTTGTGGTCCTGGATTTTGAAGCCACAATGCCACGCCATTGGGCCAGAAATCATGCCTCAGTCCCACAAGGCAGACGCGCATCTGGATGCGAGAACGACCAGAAACGGAAAGGAATTGACCATGTCGGTCTGGGAGCAGCTGCTGACAGCTGACATTGACTGCCATTAACAGCTGACGACAGCCCGCCGCAGCTTTCGCGGACCGCTGCCTGGAGAACCCCGACGGAGCTTCATCGTCGGCTCCTGCCCCAGTCGGTGGCCTCTGCAGCTCCTGCAGACCCAGAAGGCAAGCAACTCCGGGGAGGCAACCAATCGCTGGGCCCAGCGGCCGCCAACCCAGCAACAACGCACCTGCCGCCTCAGAACAACGTCCTGGGCTGCTGAGGTCCTACCAAGAGTCCTTAGCACGCACGCCGCGGCGTGGAGATCGCAAAAGGTTCTCGTTTTGTGTGAGAAGCAGAACACGCAGGCCTAGGACTGAATGACGATCCCTCAAACTTGACTTCCCTCAGGCCTCCCCCTTCGGTGAGGCACCACGCAAGAGCACCACGCAATCCACACAGCAGGAGTTTTATCAAAAATGGGTGGCGGATAAGTTTGTATTCCTATTTGTTTGTTGGATTTGTGCACACCGTATTACCCATTCATTTTTACGCTTGTTCTCTTGCACGCTTGCACGCTTCTCTTTGACCTCGACCATTCGCCCCCGGCCATTCTGTTTCACCCCACCCCAGCCGACGACCGGGTGGCAGTTGACAGCAAGAATTGACTGTGCACCCCATCCTCATCGCCGCCACCGTCGACCAGATGGACAACAAAAAAGGTTTCGCCTCCTTAATGGAGGACCACTCGTCAAACCCTAGTATCGTCATGGAGACTAGTGACGATGTTCGGTTCGGCGCGCCAGGTGGGGAGGCTCAAAGCACATACCCGGCCCCGTCCCACTCCGGCCTAGATCTCGACTTGGCTCCGGACCACGGTACCATGTCTTGCGTGTAAGTATACCGAGTGTCTATATCTAGATCTAACATGATATCCTCAGGTTCTAATCATACTCGTTGTAGAACGAAAGAAACACCACAGGAAGACTGTGCCAGGCATAGGTTCATCGTGTGGGCCGCCGTGAAACGCAACTCCTCAGTGCGGATGTCGGACGTGGAGCGGCTCGAATGCCCGCTGCTCCGATGCAGAAAGAGGTTTTTGGATCATGAGTCTATGCTCAAACACCTTGCGGAATGCAGGCATCTCGCCTCGGGGGAGTACTGGTGCTATCATCACATGAGGGTGGAACGCTTCGATGACGTGAAGTGCAGACGATGCTTGGGTCACCCTTCTAAGAGGAGGAAGATGTTATCAATGGCCAAGAACTTCTTCCACTCTCTTGGTCACAAAACCAAGAAACCTTCAGAACTTGGGTTTGTCGACGAGACTCTACTACAGCCGCCCCCGGCCTACGAATCCCTCGATATCCCCGAGCCAGACGCCAGTGCTAGCGAGCTGCCGTCGTCGACCGAAATCCTCGAGATCGATTCCCTCGAAGTGCCACTCCTCCAGAATAACCCCGTTCTCCCGCCCATGTCCGTACAGACGCCCACGCCCACGCCCACGCCCACGCCAGCTCTGAACGACGGTATTAACCCCCAGGCTCTCCTCGTACCACCACCACTACCTGCCATTCCCGAACTCGACTCGAACGGAGGGTTCTTACCATGGCTGCCCATTACCAATTTCACCCCAGGACTCTCCGCAGGGTCCGATTACCGGACAAACGCTACTCCACTCTTTGCACCCTCAACAATGGCTATTCCTTCAACGCTTGACGCTCGTCTCTTCCCACCCAGTAATGAACTTGGCCCTCTTAGGGACATGGCTGCGCGGCCGGGTTTGCAGCTGACTACCCCCGGCCTCACAGTTCGCCGGCCAGCTGTTCGACCTGCTCCTAAGCCTGCGTCCACAGCCCCACGAAGTAGCATGGGGTTGTCGCCCAGTTCGTCCGTCCGGTCGACCGCTAGCACCGACACCAATGCTAGCACTGTGAGCTACACCAGCTCCATGGTTTCCTCGGATACGAACTGGAGCGGAGCGTGGTCCATGGGCACTGGGCTCGACACCAATCTGACGTCTCCTGTCGACGGCACCATGGGCGACGAGCTATTTGCCGATGTCATGAACACCAACCCAGCCGAGTTGTGCCCCGACACTGTTCATACATTCTTCTCGGAGCTCCCAGCTGATCTCCCCATGTTGGAGAATGCCTGCGACATGGGTTCGGATGCAGATGCCTTGCTCGGATTCGAACCTGTTGCGCCCACTGGGTTGACGTATGCTCCCGAAATACTAGCAGCAGACATCGCATCGCAAGCGGCTGAAATTGCCGGACTTGAGGTCGAGAAGGCAAACACGTGCTGCTCTGAGACCAAGTCGTTGGTCGGCACGGCGTGGGATGCTTTACAAGAACACATCTTGTCTTCCATGGTGAAGATTCAGGGTTACGAAAACAACCATGTTGCCGGTCAACTGAGGTCCATGTCCATCAAGACGGTTGCGACCACAGGGCTGCGAACTTTGCGGAATTTGCTCAACGGCGAAGCACCCTCGACGGCCAGCGACGCCTTGTGCTTAATCCACCTCGTCTATTCATTTTCACTCATTTTACACGGCCAGGAGGCGCCCGGCAATTCCACACACCTTTTCATTCAAGCCTTGGGCTACAGCGACAGACTGCCTCCACATGATAAAACCCTGTACAACCAACTCGTCACGACCATTTGGCAGCCTCCAGAAGTGAGCTTGGCAACCCTGAATAAACTCATCTCTGCCGTATCAGCAAGTGGACTCCGGTCCGCTTCAGATCCCAGTGGAAAGGGGAAATCGCGGGAACTGGCTAGCCCTGTGCTCCCACATCGCGAGGATGCATTGCTCGCGGCGGCCCAGGATTTCCTTGATGGTATGTGCCCCCCCGACGTAGAAAAGCGATGGAGATGACTAACTGTGTCCAGAACTCGAAATCAGCCTCCTGAACCAAGGGGACTTACCGCTGGATGTGCAAATCTCGGAATTACACATTACGCATTTGAAAGAAGCGAGCCCGGCTGGTCCGGTCAACGAAGCGCTGATTTCAACGGCTAAGGGCGCTCTGGTGGAACTTTCGCGACGATTCAACGATGCTGGCCTCAAGAGTGGGTTGGAAGAGGTGTATCAAAAGATCCAGACATCCTCCATCTGCAGCGTTCGAAGGATTGAGGTCGAGATCCTTCGAGCTGGCAAGGTACGCTACCTCGATTCGGTGACCAGAACGATCGTTGGGCTAACTTTGCTTGATACAGACCCGTCTCCCGAGTAGCAAATTCTTCGGCGTATATGTGCCCCACGTTCGAAAATTATGCGATCAACTGTACATGATTCACGACGTGGGCGTATCGCGGCGCGATGTCTACCATGGGCTTGGCGTCACCTTGATCGAGACTCTCGTATCAGAACTCGACAATTCGGGAAGCAAGCTCGAAGCACAGCCGCCCGACGATATCGACATGTTCCTCAACGAGATCCCCGAAGTGCCAAGTCCCCCTGCAGCCAAGTCACCCGGCAAACCGCCACCGTTGAAAACAAAATTCAGCCAGACGCAGCTTCTCACCCCAACAGCCAGTTCCAGCGGTAGCAGCCCATCGGACACAACGGCCAGCCCGACAACAGCGAGCCCGGCAACGACGGAACGACCACAGCGATCGCCAGCGGAAACACCAGACCAGCAGTCCAGCAATGGCCAAAAAGTAGAAGCCAACTCATGCTGCGATATTTGCGGGTACCGGCCCAAGGGCGATCCGCAATGGTTCAAGGGCAGCATGGCCAAGCACCGCAGGCTGCAGCACAGCACGGAGCCGCCCAAGATCTTCAAGTGCCCGTTCCCGGGTTGCACGAGCCAGTACAAGAATCGTCAGGATAATTTGCGACAGCACCAGATTGAGAAGAACCACTGGGTTGAGGGGGATGAGGGACCGCCGAGGCGGCCGAGTAAGAGGAGGAGGGTGGCGGAGGATGATTGAATGGGGTGGCCTAAAGTCGGCTAGGGGCTTTGAGGATTCGGCTATGAATCGGAAGGGATGATATACGATGGGAAAACGGGGGGTCTATGATTCGACTGTTTGCTTCTTTTTGGGCCGTATGATTCATGATACCACTATGCATAGCGATGGCTTGGAGTAACTTGTTTGGATGCCATAATTATAAGGGCATACTTGGGCCGCTGTGCCCAAGCGTTGGATTTAAGGGGTGGGAGGGAAATATACAAGGCCCTACTGGGATATGAACCATTGTTGGTTCCTTAATACATGTGGCCTAAAGGCCAATATGCTTTGACCACTTCCTGAATCTTGATCAAGCTGCCGGTGACACCGCCATGAAATACCTGCTACAATAAATAGAGTTGAGTCACGGAAGTAGATCGGAATTTTATAAACTAATCGAGTACCTAACTGTCTACAGGCAGACAAATAAAGAGCGTTTATATAACTCGGCGGAATTCCCGTATTTTGTTCGGACTGTTTATTTTCTTTTCGCCTCACGAGACCTCTTGACCCCACATCAGGCGGTAACTTTTGAACCCTTTTCACCCCACCAGCTGCACTCAATTCACTTCAACTCAACTCAACTCACCTCAACTCCTCCACTTATTCTAGGCGGAACTCAAAACTAAATCCAAACTCTGATTTATCGAAAAGATTCCCCAAACGGTATTGAAGCAAGAAAGATAAAAAGAAAGAAAGATGTCTTCAACAACTCCGCGCATTACCGTCCTCGGGTCTTTGAACATGGACTTGGTGGCTTACGTCCCGCACCGTGAGTCTTGTCTCTTTTCTAAGTTCATGACTTGCATAGAACTTTACGTTTTATGTCGCTTTCCGCTCCTGTCTATCTCTCAAAACACCTGTCTTTCCCTCCTTGCTCTCACTTTCTTCGTCTATGTTATCAATTTTAAAAATCAGAATGAATCATGTCCTAACCCTTCGGCAGACCCCCTCCCAGGCGAGACGTTGACGGCCGACGAGTTTGCGACGTCGCCGGGTGGGAAGGGTGCGAATCAAGCTGTGGCGTGGTATGTTTACTTTCTATCTCCGTTTTGTTTCCCTATCCGGTTGTAGAGTGCTGCGTTCTGTCGAATTGTGTGAGTTGGATGGCTTTGGCTGACGCCTGAGGGTTTCGATGTGTACAGCGCCAAGTTATCGCGGGCGAGGCCAACAGACGGCGAGAGAAAGGAGACTGAGAGCGGAACGGAAAAAGAGTGGGCGGGCGAGACGGCTAAGGTGGCGATGGTCGGGTGGTATGTCTCCTTTTCTTTTCCCCCCCTTCTCCCCCCTTCCCCCCCGCGCTCTCTATCTCTCTCCCCCCTCTCTCCTATATCCTTACTACCATTCATACTCACAACCCCCCAGCGTCGGCTCCGACCCCCACGGCACCCAACTCCTAACCAGCCTCTCCACCCACGGCGTCAACACCACAGGCGTAACCTCCTCCCCGCACCACCAAACCGGCGTCGCCCTCATCCTCGTCGACAAACCCACCGGCGAAAACCGCATCGTCCTCTCCCCTGGGGCTAACCATGCGCTGCAACCGGGGGATTTCACTCCCACTGATACTGCCACTGGGAATAACAAAGACGGCTTAGATCTCCTCCGTACCGGGCCTGGTAGCAGCAGCCCACTACCAGATCTCCTAATAATGCAACTCGAAATCCCCCTCCCCACCGTCCTCGCCGCGCTATCCGCCGCGCGCACAGCCGGCGTGCCCGTGCTGCTTAACCCGGCGCCGGCGAGGGTGTTGCCGGATGAGGCGTATGTTGGTTTGGCGCATTTGGTGGTTAACGAGACGGAGGCAGCTATTTTGTCGGGGTTGTCTGGGGAGACGGCGGAGGAGTTGTTGGAAACGGAGGCCGGGTTGGAGAAGGTTGCGAGGGGGTTTGTGGGGAGGGGGGTGAGGAATGTTATTATTACGCTGGGGGGGAGGGGGGTGTTTTATTTTGGTTCTGGTCGTGGTGGACCTGGTGGTGAGGGTAGCGGGAAAGAGGTGTGGGGGTTGGTGCCGGCGGAGAAGGCCAAGGTGGTGGATACTACGGCGGCGGGAGATACGTTTGTGGGACGGTATGCGTTGGATGTGGTCGGTGATGGGGGGTTTGATATTGAGGTGGCGGTTAGGAGGGCGAATCGGGCGGCGGCGAAGACGGTGGAGCGGGCTGGGGCGCAGGATTCGATTCCGTGGAGGGATGAGTTGGAGTAGAAGTAATATGGTTTTGACTGTATCCTGACTATCTTTATACATACATATACACACACACACACACACACACACACACACACACACTTACTTTTGCTTGGAATATACCCCCTAAGGATACACATACTGCGGCATCTGCAACCCCCATCCATCCCCCCTCTGAGCTTCCACCTGCTTCACACTAAACCCATTCAGCACCCTCAAATTCAACGGCACCGTGTCGATATGTTTAGCCCGATGCTGCTGGTACGCCTCCGGCAGCGCAGCCACCTCGGCCTCGCTCATGTCCGGCCGCACTTCCGACCCCACCTGCACGCCGCAGGTCTTGCAGAACAGCTTCTGCCAGATGCGGTTGCCGAAGGTGTAGTAGGTGAGGTTGTCGCGGCCGGTGAGGGCGAATTGGGAGGTGGTGGGGTAGATCCAGACGGAGCCCTGGGACAAGTGTCAATGTCTGACCTTTTTGAGGATTAGGGGGGAGAGGGATGTGAAAGGGGGACAGTACCAGCCGGCAGAAACTGCAGTTGCACTCCATGATGCGGTCGGGATAGGTGCCGTCTTCGAGCGAGCCGTGGACGCGGACGGAGGTGGTCACCGCGCCGCAGTGGCAGCTCCCGTGGTAGGTTTTGCCGTCCTTTTCGAAATCGGCTGGGGCCGGGTCCTCGCCGGTGAAGGTGGGAGCGACGTACTTGGGCTCGAAGGTGTCGCCGTTGAATCTGGGATTCGTTAGATACCTGTGAATACGGGGTAGGAAATGGGTTGACAGGACGTACGGCTTGATCTCGAGACCCCAGATGTCTAAGCCTTGGATGGTTCGGACCTAGTTTTGTTAGCTTTTATTTATGTTTCGAGATGCTATCACATTGGAATCCAGCAAAACTCACATTGATACCCATCCCAGCAGGAAACATGGCACTCTTCGCTATCACCGTAGTCCCACACTTGCCACAAAACTGTCACAAACAACACCCACAATCAGTCACGATAACCTCTCAAAAAAGTTCGATCAATACCCCCCAAAGAATCTTCAAGGAAAGCAAGTAAACAAACCTGATGATCCAAATTCCTCCCCGCAAACCCATACCCAACCAGCAACCCCTCATCCTTCACCACCCGCACCGGCGTCTTGGGCACCAGCCACAGGTACGCCCGCTTGTAGCAGATGCTGCAGCTGCACTCGCTGGCCGAGGTGATGTCCTTGCCGTCGGGGGTGTCGACTTCGTAGACGAAGGCGCCGCAGTGGCAGTTGCCGCGGTAGGTGCGGGGGGTGGACATTGTGGATGGTTAGTAAAGTATTGGTGGAGTGTTGATGTTGGTGTAGGTGTTGGTGAAGTGTTGGTGAAGTGTTGGTGAAGTGTTGGTGTTGGTGGTGATGAGTGAGAAAAGATGATGAAATGATAGTTAATGATGAAATTTAGGTCGAGGTTGAAAAGACTTTAAACACCAATAAATAGACAGACAAGACACATTCTGTTCCAACCAATCTCTAATTCTAACCGTTTCACCAACCCGAATCAAGCACACCGGCCCAATCCCAGCTCCTCAACCCCTCAACCCCCAACCCCAACTCATCAAGAAACAACCGACCCCAAACCTCCCCCATCCAGCTCGCCAAGTCTGCTGCTCTAGTGCTCTCTCATGCCGCTGCACATGCGTATCAAACAGAGCCACTCTCGTATTTTATTCCCTGTCTTTCCATCCCTCCAGTTCCTCGGAAGAGAACAGGGTGTGCCGTGTGAATCGGAAACACCAGAGTTGCAAAGACCTCAGGAAGAAAATAAGTAATCATCGGCCTACCTTTTCCGTCCGTAGCGGCCCTAGCTAACTAGCCACTTGACTGCAGCAGAACCACCTGCAACTCCACTTCGGTCACTCCACTTCAGTCACTCCACTCCACAATTCACACTTGGAGTCACTGGCAACCTTGGACTTTGCCTCGCTCGCTTGCTTCACTCCTCGTATGTGATTTAGCTGTGAATGTGAATGTGAATGATAACCCCGCCCTGCCCGCATTAGATGCACACAGTCGGAGGACACTAAACCACACAGACCCCCCCCAAAATCGACCCATCACAGCATATCGCTTCCCAGGTTCACCGACCTGCGCAAGCCGCGTTAGTGCGAGCCTGGCAGCGCGTCAGTCCGAGCAAGGGAGGGGTCAAGACACCCCCTGCATTCACGACGCGGTCTCACGTGGTTGAGGGAGGCGGTTTTGTTGGGGGGCAGGGATTTTAATTAACTTCGGACGAAGTACCTACCTTAGTGGAAGTTGAAGTTGGCGTTTCGGAGGAGAGTTATCTCGCTTTTGTCAGCCAGCTCAGCCGGGAGACAGCACAGCAAGTCCGATCCGAGCGGAGCCGATTTTGATAGCTCCGAAGTCACTCGAGACTTGATTACTGACTGTCTTTCCAGTAAATCCGTGGGAGCCGGCACTGTGTTTAGTTTGGCCGTCGAGGGTGAGCTCTGCTGAGATCCTAGATGAGTTAACTATCGGAAAGGAGTTCCAATGGTGTCACCGACATATCCATCATCTGAACCCCAAAATCTGTCACGCAAGGAAAAGACTGTACTCGTATTGTCCTAACTACGTTACCCCCCAAATGCAAAAGAGTGTATGTCATAACCATGTCCAAAGTCCAAAGTCCAAATTCAAGATCGGTATTCAAAATTGCAAAAAAACACTCAGTCTGTCCTTCTTAAGGGTTGATTTCGTATCCCGACGAGGCGTTATATCTGGCCTTCTCATCAAAAGCTACAGACACCATCTCACTGCAGATCGCGCACCAGTCTCGCGCCAACCCACGCATAAGGGTAGTTGCGCTGGTACCAGTTGACGCTGTCTCCCGTTAGCACAGACCGAAAAGATAGAAATAAACCCGAAATAAAGGGAACGGGATAAACTCACAAACTCTTCCTTCCCGCCAGCCTCGGGTGCGTAGCCCACGACCCCCCAAGCACCACATTATGCTTCTCATCAAAAAAGTCCGCCGTATACCCCGGGTACAGCGGCATGGCCTCGAACCCGTCCCAGCGCGCAAGCACGCTGCTCGTCCACTCCCACACGCCGCCCATGTCGGCCTGGCCCGCGAGGCTTTCGCCGCGCGAGGTGACGGGGACGGGGTGCCAGTGGCGGAAGCCGGAGTTGTTGCCGTCGAGGTTGGTGAAGAGCGATTGGCGCGGTCGTCTCTTCTCCGTCGACTTGGCTGCTGCTTCGACGTCGGCTTCACCGTCGGAGCTGGCGCGGTCGGTGGGGGTGGCTGGGGGCGAGATTTCCACGCCGTTGTTGCAGAGGTGTCTTTTTGTGCGTAGCCAGTTAGCTTTTGCGTTCTAAAAACCCTTATGGGGTTTGCCCGGCATATGGTACATACCCGTTCACGGCCGGCACGGTCTGGCTCAGCTGGTTCTCCAGCTGCTTGTTCTTGAGGACCTCAGCATGCGCATACACGCTGCGTGCCTCTTCCATCGTGGGAATGCGTCCGCCCATCCAGGCCGCACAGCCCGCCAGCTCGTCGTACGACGCGAACACGGGCCAGTCCAGCGCGTGCTCCAGCGGGACGAGCCCATAGACCGTCCGCACCGCCTTGCCGTGGATGAAGGACTCCGGGACGGCCGTGTTGTCGTTGGTGGTATTCCCGTTGGTGCCGTCGGCCTCAACGGCCGGAGCATCATTGGTTCGGGCCCACGATGCCGGGATGCCGGTGGACTTGGTGTTGTACAGGTATCGTGCGTACTAAGAACCAAGTTAGCTCAACCACACCCTGGAACTCGGCGGAAATCTCCCAAGGAACACTTACCTCCTCGTTGCTAATCGCCCGTCCCTGCGCCTGGAAGGCATGAACTTGGGCCCGTCTCGCTGGCTTCTCATTGTCCCAACCATATGCGACATCTGTGTCGGTGCCGTCCTCCGGGTCGTCCATCCCAATGACAACTTCTTGCTCAGGGATATCGAACCACTCGTTCGGCACCCGCTCTGCGCGGGCCTTGGCCGCCAGCCTCTCAAAATCAGGCACGGCCACGCCGGGCGGAGGAAGCGTCTTGTCGCTCTGCAGCATCATGTACAGCAGCGTCTCGAGGTGCATTGCCTCGTGCTCGAAGCCGACCCAGATCGCCCGGCCGACATGTCGGGGGATGGCGTCCATGCCGTCCTTGTACAGGCCCTGCACACGGGCCCGGACACGGTCCTGGTAGGCGACGATCTCCTCAACGGCCGGCCACTCATCCGGGATGGGCGAGTGGTCGTGGCATTTCTCCGGGTTGTCGACGTCCGGGTCGATGCCGCGCTCAAAGATGACCGAGTACGTGGCCGGGTCGGTGGCCGGTGCCTTGGTCGTCTTGGTGAGCTGGATGTCGAGGAAGGTCGGGATATGGCCGAGGTAGAAGATGCAGGCGTTGCGCAGCTTGATAGGCTTCTCATGAAACTCTGCCGGCGTAAGCATCTCACGGGTGACCGTATCCCATGTTGCCCACAGGCCTTCCCAGTCCTCGAGGGAAGGGAGAGCGGTGCGGGCGTAGACGGATGGGATGAGACTGAAGGACATTTTGGGCTTGGTCAACATATGAAGAGCTAGATGAGCCGAAATCACGTCAGTTAGCGGGATGCTTCTCTCATCGATCGTGAGACTTGAGTCCGGCGTTTAAAAGATAACGAGCTATGTTTGGGGGGGTGGAGCTGGTGGGAGTCTTGGCCCTCGGTGATGTCACCCCCGCAGTCCAAAGCTCACCCCCCTGGTGGCTGATAAGCCATTTCGGGAAGGGCGCCGTGTAAGTGAACCCGGCGGGTGCCGCCCGACTGGTTTGATAACGTGGGGTGCATTTGGAAAACCCGAGAAACCGGGGACCGGGGAAAAAGTAAAAGCAAAGCCGTGGAAAACGTGGTTGTGGACAGGGGAGGGGGGTAGCAGGTGATCCGGTGCATTTGGAATCGTACATAACCAAAAGAAAAAACAGGGTCTTTTCCCCGGATCTCGACTCACCATAGTGCTCGCGGTGCCTCCATTCGCGGACCGATGTCATGCCGGCCTGTCTCCAGAGTTCGCCGGCTTCCTCGCTCGAGTACTTCAAGCTCTGCTCAACCTTGATCCGCTCGTGCGGCTGCACTCGCTCACCCATGACGATCGTGTCGCGGACCGGGGAATAGAAGGCCTGATGCCGGCCCCCCTGGGCATCGCACACGTACTCGCCCACAACACGCCAGTCCTTCTCGTCAAATGCATTCTCTCCCAGCACCTTGTTGGCATGGCGGAGGCCGTTCAGGATGAATCTATCGTCATTCGTCAGTCTCAGTCACGAGGGGGGCCCATCGACATGTTAAATGCGAGGGCAGGTATAGGCATATGTACTCATGGGTGACGCCCTCCTTGTCTTTTTAATGTTGAATATCGGGTTAGTATCACTAGATCAAGGTGTAGTCACAACAAATACTCACCATTGTAAGCATGGCTAATTTTGTGTTAGCGTGTGTCTCGGGGGACTTTGAATCACTCGCTGCGGATTTCCCAACTCACTAAACTCTGGCCGGATTGGCACACCCATCGAGGCCAATCAACATAGCATCCCCAGGGCCGAGAACGTCAGAAAACCCTTTCAGGAAATCCGCCGCATCTGCTCGGCCAAAGTTGCCTGTCGAGTAAGAGGACAAATGCATTAGCTTACCAAACTTCGGGGAACTGAGGCTAACGACGGCACAACTTGACTCACCGACACTCGAGCCAAGACTCATGATGCACTTCTTCCTCGAAGCAATACCAGGGCTCTTGAGCCAGGCCTGGCCGTCGTCGTATGTCCCCCACAAACCGTGGGCTCGAACGTGTTTGTATGCGGGGAGCTGCGCAAGGGTCCGCTGCAGCTCCTCCAGCGAGAGGTCCAGGGCATAGTAATCAACGTCCTTGGCAGCGTCTTCGAGAGCCTGCAAGAGTAAGTTCACCTTTCGAAGGTTCCTGTCAACAAAATACACAAAAGGTCAGCCGGCCAGACAGTCAGTTAGTTGGTAGATCGGTTTGAACCACCACTAACCCGCTGCCGAGCTCAATGACCATGGCCCCCGAGGGAATGTCCTTGACAATCTCTGCGGCGTATGACCCGAGCACTTCGATTTCATCATTGGTCAAGTAGTACTCGTCCAGGTAGGTGATCTAGACAAGTTAGCGTGGGGTGAGCCTGCCAGACCCCAAGGCAATTCTCTGAGTCTCACTTTTTCAAACAACTGCAGGCCCTTCTCATCGTACAGAAGCAGGGTGGGTAGCGTCCGGGGACCATTCCTCGCGCGGAACTGGGACAGCACCTCTGTCTTGAGGTTGATCTCGACCGCCACGCGGCGAATGTCGATAATGTCGAGGCCGGGAGCCGTCGTGCGCAGATCCGGCACCCCCTTCTTTTCCTTGATGGCACCGAAGCGCGGCATGGCGCCACCGTGCGGATTGTCGATGACCTGATCAACGGCAGTAGGCATAGTCGTTGAGTTGTCAGGCGGGTGTTGTTTTTCAATAATACACGAGGAGGCCGGGTTGAACTGGGATGATGAAGGCTATATACTCTAAAGCTTTCCGATGGAGCGAGAAAGGATGAGATGATGGGGCCTTCGGGTCAGATCAATTCAAGGTGGACTTGGTCAAGTAACCAACTACCTTCGGAGAGCAGAGATGGCGCCCTGAAATTGTATCTGTACCGGGCGGTACGTAGTTGGAGTGTCATCATGGTGGGCCCACGCTCAAACAACCTGCTCAAGCACGGGTCTCTTTCCAGTACCGGTACCCGGGGGCGAACTGAGGACCTTGGAAGATGCCGGGAGCTCACAAGGACTGCTCGATTTGTTAGACCCCGCTGTCCCTTGACCCACAGCCAACAAGCTCTTGATGAACATGCCGGCGGATATGTGCCATCGCAAGTTAAGTGTTGCATTTTCTCTTGGGACTAAATCTCCCAGGGCTACGGCCGGGTGATCGACGATCAGGATCTCGAGGCTTGGGGGGCTATGTAGTTAATTTAGGGGGGGGTGGTAGTGTAGATGGCCGAGTAAGTAGCCGTGGGAGAGCTATCGAAGGTATGGCGTTGTGTATGTTGGACCTAGACCTTCAAGGAAATTCTAGGTGAGGTCAGATGGTTACCAATACCAAGCCCGTCAATGAAGCATCGAAAGCGTGATCTCTGGAACCCTAATTTTGTTATTCCCCTCGCCCACAATTGCCCCCAGTGTTCAATAACCGTGCTCTCCCACCCACTCGCTGACCATGGCTCTAGAAGGTTGAGTAATCGATGGGAGAGAGGGAGAAAGGTGAAAAGTGCCCACCTCAGAAGATCTACAAACAGCAACCCCCTCCGGTCGAGAACACCCGGAAAACCCGACGCGCCAACCCCATTCCAGAACAGATCCAGAACCGGTTGCAGACGGCTCGGCTACCAGACTTCCTGACTTCCAAGAAACTCACCAGGGCGGGCTTGCATGGAAAGGCTGAATCATTTTGTCATGGAATGACCACGAGCATCGCGGCATCGCGGCGTGCTGACGGGAGACTCGGGGGGTGTGAGTGGGAATGAGTGATGTCAAGGAACAAATCACAGCGCTCCAGCGCCCCCGCGGTACAAGCCTGCCCCACGCCCCCGGCCTCTGTGGCAGGACGGGCAGGAGCCAGTGCGGCCGACTCAGTGGGTACTGGGGTGGCTGTCATTGGTCCACTAGCCACATCAAGGACTCTCCCCGTCGAGCCCGTGTGTGTGTCCGTGTTCCTGACGGGCTAAAAAGACCGAGCGCGGTGCCTGGATATGGAAGCTACGACTCTGTCCGGATGATGGAGGGCAATGGAAAAAACGCCGCGTTTGAGCAGGAACGAATGGTTCCATCTTGCATGATCCTATGAAACAGCCATCATGTGGCCGAGTTGAGCCTCCCAGGGCTGTTGAGGCGGACCCCACAGTCCTCGTCATCACCTCTCGGCGTTTGTGTTGCACACCCGTGGTGCTTTTTAGGGATGTAGGTCCAGATCGATCATTCCAACGGTCCCACCCGAAGAAATCGACATCGTGAACTCTAACCCCCAAAATGGGACCACCTCGATGTACATAGCATGCTCTTCCGGGAACGAATACTCCCCAAACCGCATCAACCACTCTAGTCTCCCTCGCCGGCAAGCCAATAATACAACTCCCCACGCTCTTTACCCCTCTCGAGGCCGACGGAAATAGGCACACTAGAGATTGAAAATGAGGAGCTGTCCTTTCGAAGATCCCGAATATCCGCCACGACGAAAAAGAACCCTCGAGATAGCCGAGGAAAACTACACAGAGGCTCCGGAAATGCACCATCCACAGGCCGACAAGCATTCACATGGATAACACCATAATGTAAAAGGATGATTGCCCGTTCAACCAGCCGCACTTCGTCTAGAAAACGCATAGTGTAGTTCCTGTACCTACCTTGCCGACTCAAGTACTGTCGTACCCGAGCGGCCGAGCTGCCACTTTGGAATCAACCACTTCCAACTCGGCCACGGCACAGTGTGGGATTGGTATGCAGGAGAAAACAAAAACGAGCAAGCAACAACCAACCCCAAACCGACCAATCTGTCCAGGCACAGCCGGCGATGCAAAAATATCCCAGGGAAAACCTTGGAAGCCGCAGCCGCAGCGAGCCATTGTCTCATCAATTTCTAAGCCGCTCGCTGCCGTTGCCGCCGAGCTCCAATGCCAGCTCACTATGCACTACCTATGTAGTGTATTCGAGACACAAAGGGCGCGGCTTTCCCAACGAGGAAAAAACAAGGTTCGGTCCAGGGGGCCTTGGGAAGGGGGGTACCTAACCAGCTTGCCAGCTAACCGCAAGCAAATCATTCCCCTGAACCCTTTCGTCAGTTTCGTGTACCCAAACCCGTCGACGTCATCCCCACCAATGGGCGGGCGCAGCACCCCACGCCCGCCGAGTGGCCCGCCGGGCTCCCACGGAGGACGAACGCGGGGTACGGAACGGAGGGCCTTGGCTTGGCTCGGCAAGTGGGTTTGGTGTGCTGCCGCAGTCCCCGGGGCTCGGGGGGATTGTTTGCTCCGAGTCTATGTACACTAAAGTAGCGGTTGTGTTCACTTGATGAGCTCCGTATTGTTTACACTAACCACTTAGTGATTCTAAATTGAAGAGGCCCAAAAGAAGAAGAAAAAAGGTGTCCTCAGGGGGGAAATTGAGCAAGTTATGGGATGGATGATGGCCTGGCCGGAGATTTGTCTCCTGCAGAGTGGTTTTTGAGATACCCACCCACAGCAGCCGTTATTTGTGGCCCCTGTAGATCTCGGGTTTAAGCTACATAGTAGAGGCGAGGCAGACAGAGGGATGAATCACCGAAGAATTGAAAGGGGTTATTCTTGAGGAATTCTCACATTGTGGATTTTAGACGGAGTCTCAATCGCGAGCTGCGGGCAACCCTTCTTCAGCAGAAATCAGCCGGAGGAAGTGTCCTTAGGGCACGCAAGATTCGTAGAATTGAACGTTCAATGACATGACAATCACGCCTTGGGTGTGCCCGGTGCTTCATTCCATTCCTATTTGGCAAAATGTCGCTCTGGAAAACCCGGAACGTCCCCCATCCACGTTTCAGGTTACAATTAATCAACATACGCCCTCTTTTTCCCAGAACCAAAAACGCCCCCAAGATGCTATAACGGCTGCCCCCTCCTAGTCCATCACCCAGCCTTCCAAGGTTTCCAGTGACAGAAGAACCACAGCTCAAATGTAATTATCCACCATCTCCCAAATCTGGGACGTCATCTTCACGCCCTGTTCCGTGATAATGCCGTCGATAAGCTCCGGATCGGTATAATCAACCTCATCCTGCTCGGCCACCATGGCAGCCACGACATCCCCGACCTCGCCCTCGCTACCCTTGCCCGCCACACCTGACGTTGGAGAAGCGCCCCCAGCGACAACATCAACCCCGACATTCTCAAACTTGCTGATGTCCTTCTGGTTGACACCAACCCTGTTAACAACCGGGTACGCGATCGGAGTCTTGCGGCAGATCTTGTGCGTCTCAGCAGCCACATAAAACCTCTTAATCCCCCCCTTAACCGTCTTCGTCAAATGCGCCAGCTGCGCGGTGCCCATACCAGAAATAATCCCCCCATTCTGCATAACCACCTCCGTACCAACCAGCACCAAGTTAATCTGCTTCTGGTTAACCAGCACATAAGCAACCTTATGCGGCGAGATAGTCTCAACCTCCAACCCCGCCTCACGTAACTGCGCCACCGCCACATCACTGCGCTTGTTGTGCCCATCCACAATATAGATCACCTTGAAATGCTTGCTCTGATCCGCAGCGGCACGCAGCAAGATCTTAGTCACCGTGCGACTGCCCCCCGCGGTAAGCACCACCCGCCCGTCGGACACGTACCGGCTGCCCCAGATGGCGATGCTATCGCGGTCGGCCTTGGCGCGCTGCGCAAACAGGTCTTTGTTCTCCAGGAGGTGCTGGCGTGTCTCGTCGAAACTGAGCACGCGGTCGGCGCCACCGCCACCACCGCCGGCTCCCGATCCGGCACCCGTCGAGGTGGTTGCTGCTGCGGGCCCTCTAAGCGATCGCAGCAGGTACTGTTCGAACAGGTCGGCGCCGGCGAGGAGGGGGAGGGGGTTGGGTGCTGAGGCGAGGAGTTTGGCTTTTTCTTTTTTGACGGTTTCGACTAGTTCCATTGCGGTGGAGGAGGAGGTGGCGCGGAGGAGTTCGATTAGGGACTCGATGGCGGCTACGCCCATTGTGAGGTCGCGGTCGGAATTTAAGAGTTCGCGGTAGGTGCGCACGACGCTGGAAGGCAAATTGTCAGCACTACATTCCATCCACACCTAGTTTACCTCCCAACTACATCGTCCTCATCTGTCCGTATGTTCCAAAGGAGAACCTACTCGAATGTTGACCCATTTTCGCGTTGCACCGAGCTTGAAGCGGAGGCTGTGGTGCGGACAGGGAGCTGGGAGCTGCCCCCTGTGTCGGTCGCCATCGTGATTGTGAAAAATGTAAAGAACGCTAGCACGGTAAAAGGGGGCAGTGGGCGGCGATAGAGCATGCAGCTGGGACTCGGTCGCGGTCAATGGCGGTTCACGACGGGTGATTGTTGATGTGGAAATGTAGCGGGGTAAGAATGGTGTGTGAACTCGGAATCGAGGGTGGACAACAGTTCACGTTGATAAGAGTGGTGTTTGGGTCAAAATTATGCAATGAAATCACTCTTCAAAGCTCCCTCTCGTTCGCCTGATGAGCACATTCAACTTTTGAGATATTCCTCGCTCAACTCTAGCTTGTGACTCAGCGGGTGCAACTGAGATTCGGGGCATTCTGCCACTTCAGACCGCCTAAGACCCCAAAATGCCCCTCCGTTAGTGGGGCCGAACCAGGTTCGCAATGAGGGGCATGGCGGGGCGCTAAGCTGGAGGCTCAGCAACCTGGAAGCTCCAGGCAGACCCAAGGGTCCTCCAGCGGTCCCCACCAAGGGCCGGCAGCTTGGTTCCCTCGTAGCTAAGTGCCGAAAAGGGAGCTTAAAGTTCTTCGTTTTCATTATTCCTCGGCAAGAAAGAGTCGCGAGAACCAGCAGAACTAAGGATGGACCCCTCTGCGACGATCGACCCGGCGACGGGCCAGCCGTTGCCTTCAGATGCCATTGTGCGCATTCTCCGTGAGTCTTTCTTATCCATCTACAGCTACTTCTTCGTGTAGTGTCCCTTCCCAAGCTGCGATCACAGAATCACGAACCTCATGTACCTCGGACTAAAGCTTCTAACTCGCCCCCTCTAGAAATCACCAACCGCGTGCACGTCTACTCCCTCCCGCGCGACGCCGTCTCCACCACCGCAGGCTACGCCGCCGCCTCCTGGACCACCGACCCGCGCAACCACATCTTCACCGCGCGCCTCCGCGTCCTCGAAACCTCCTTCACCCCCCCTACCCCCACCGCCGAAAAGCAGCAAAGCACCAACACCGAAGAAGAAGACCCCCCTCAAACCCTAAAAATCGACATCCTCCTCGAAGACCCTTCCACAGGCGCGCTCTTCGCAGCGGCCCCCTACACCTCCGGCGCCGTGGTCGAGCCGACGACAGACAGCTCGCGGTTTTTTGCCATACGTGTGCAAGACCCGACCAGCAAGCAAAAGGCTACGCTGGGCATCGGGTTTGAGGAGCGCAGCGAGGCGTTTGATTTTGGGGTTTCGTTGCAGGAGGCTGGACGGGCGTTGGGGTGGGCTGGGACGGGGACGTCTGCTGCGCAGGGTGGTGCTGGGAGTGGTAGTGGGGGGGTTGGGAAAGGGGGGGGTGTTGCTCTTGCTGGGGGAGGAGGAGGGGGTGGGTTTGGGGGGGAGGAGGAGAAGAGGGATTTGAGTTTGAAGGAAGGGGAGACGATTACGGTGAATTTGGCTGGGACGAGATTTGGGCGGAGGTCTGGGAGGTCGGAGTCGCAGGGGGAGAAGAAGGAGGATGGGAGCAGTAATTTGGCGTCGTTTGCGTTGCCGCCGCCGCCGCCTCCGAGTGGGAGGGCGCAGAAGAGGTTGAGCGCGCAGCAGTTGGGGTTTGATGATGGGCAGTTTGGGGAGTTTGCTTGATGTTGCGCTGCGGGGGTAATCAGTATCAGGGGCAATGACGCTTGAACAGTGGCACTTGGGATACCGCGCAGATGGGGAAGTTGACTTGTTCTTATTCTCTTGGGTGTTGTCGTCATTCCTTTGATATCCCCCTTTTCCTCCTTTCCTTTCGTCTTTCATAGTAGGCGGTATCCGCCGCTTCGCAGAGTCTCGCCAAGCATGGCGCCTAATAATGGTTAGATCTACGCAACGTTGGTTATGTCTCGAGTGGTCTTGGCTTGGTGTTACCTCAACTTGATACCATAGTTGCTTGTAGTCAAGACTACCCCCAAACACGTGTCTTACAGCCCAACGCTATAAATTTTGGATTCTTAATTATTTGAACGTGGGTTATGTTGTACATTTTCAAATGCTCGCATTAAATATTGCCTTCTCATATCGTACATCCACCCCCCTTAAACTAGGCTTTTACAACCGTTTACACATACCAGTCGGTACTTAAAAATTTCATATCCAAACTCTCCCATATCAACCCCCGTCCACCCTCACCCATCCATACTCTCGAGAGTGTCCCCCTCACCCAACAACAGAGTGCACACTACTCCCCCTAGACAACGACGACAAAGACCACATCCCCTTCCGATACGGCAAACTCATCCTCTTCTCCCTCTCCCCACGCCGGCGAAGCGATCCACGAAGCGAGTAAGAAGGCAAAAACAGCGACACCCGTCTCAGTTTCTCCCGCCACCGTGGCGGCGTGCGGCCGCTCCTGTTGCTGTTGCTGCTGCTGCACCGGGGAATATCACCAGCAGCAGCAGCACATGCGTCGGAGCCGCCGTGCCAGGGGAGAGAGTTGGTTTCGGCGGGGGTGGCGGGGGTGCTGTGGGTGGTGTTGTTGTTGGTGATGGGGGTGATGGGGGTGATGGGGGTGTTGGGTCCGTTGTGTCTGGTGAGTTTGGGGTTGGATTGGACTGGAATGGGGTTGATGAGGTGTGGTGTAGCTCTTTCTTCTTCCCCGCTCTCCTGTTTCTGCTCTTCTTTCTCTTTGGTGCCGCCTTGAACGTGTTCAACAAGAGCCACAGCGTCCTTCCCATCACTCGACTCATCACACAGCTGATCCTGACCCCGTACCTCACCAGACCAAGCAACCCCTTCCACCCCCGCTCCCCCCTTTCCACCTTCTCCCCCCTCAAACACCCCCCTCACTCCCCTCATCCCCATCTCCCCCCCATCCTCCTCACCATTACCCAACCCCCCATCCACAAAACTCCCCTCCGTCCCCTCCGTAACCGTCGTCCCTCTCTCCGTCACAGACACAGACACAGACACAGACCCCGACACAGACGGCGCCGTCCCCGACGCAGAAGATGACGAGCACGAAGGCGACGATGCCGATGATGACGGCGTGCGCTGCTTGCTTCCGTGCGACCAGCCATCTTCAGCGCCAACGCCGGGCGCAACGTAATACGTCGGCGCGCCGGGGGTGAAACAGGGGGAGAGTGGGCTTAGGACTGATGATGTCGTTGGGAAGGAGGCAGGGGCTGAGGAAGCGCGTGAAAGTTTGGGGGTTCCTGGTGTTTCTGGGGTTTCGGGGGTTTCGGGGAGTTCTGGGATTGTTGAGATTGATGGGATTGTGCTAGGCGAGACGGCCGGTTCATCGGTCTCTGGCGGGGTTTGGGTTGTTACACCGTTGGTGGTGGCACACGGGGCCACTCCGATATTCGACGCTCCTCCAAACCCATGGGAATCACCCGCATGGTATCGCTCTCCTGGGTTCATGACCGGGCCATTGAACCCACACCCCGAACGAAAAGGCATCGAGGCAGCTCCCGAAACAGGTCCATAGCATTGGAAGCTCGGCGGAAGCGAGAAAACAGGATAAACCGGAGGTGCAACAAACTGGACACCGCTGGCGGGGGCGGAGAACGAGCGGAGATGTTGGTACTGGTGTTCATGTTGCTGCTGCTGCTGCTGCTGCTGCTGTTGTTGTTGCTGCTGACGCGCATGCACGACAAAGAACCAGCGCTCGCGGTTCTGTAGCTCGACATGGATCTCCCCCAGACGGTGGAGGATGAGCTGCTCTTGCTTGTTGCTCTCAGCAATTTTGGCCCGCACCAGGGAAGCTTCCTTTTTGCAGCGTTTGATATCGGCCGGTGTCGTCAGTGTTTGAAGCGATGTTGCCGGGTTCCCGGGATCTCCTCCCGGTCCTGTCGACGTTTCTTTCCCCTCTGCTGCTGGCCTTTCGATTCTCACAGTCGTTACCGGGACACCCACTACCGCTGGTTTGACCACGCCTGCTGCGGCGAGCCGGCCCTCAACGGCGGCATAGCGCTGGAAGAGGCGAGTAGCGCGAAGACCTTGCTTTTGCAACTCATAGAGCAGGTACAAGCGTTCTCGGTGAAGTTCCTCGAGCGTACGCGGGTCCGGGGGCTGGACACCAAGAGCATGGTGGTGGTTGGTCGGTGTGGATGTTGGGATCGTGGTTGGTGGAGTAACTGAGGTTGTTGAGGAGGATGACGGCCGGTGGGGGCCGAAAGCTTTCGGTTTCGAAGAGAGCACCGCGGTCCGTAGACGGGAGAGCGTCTTTGTTGTCCCCGTTGCATTTTTGGTGCTGCTGTCGTTATTCTCAACAGGCAAGACGTCAACGAGGACTGCGGTTTTGTGAGGGACGGCACGTTGGCCGGTATTATTAGTCGTTGAAGTCATCTTGGCCAAAGTAAACACAAACAAGATGCACAAGAACTTCCAAGTCGGGGAGATAATAATGAAGCAGGACCGCTCGTCTCATCAAGCCCAGCAGCCCCAGAGAGAGTCCAGAGACCATGCCCCATGCAGGGGATTTAAGTCTGTACGGTTCTCCCAGGAAATCCATCTCGACAATTATCGGACAAAGATCCATTGGGCCAGCACTATCCCTGCCCTCCCTTGTTTGCCTGGCGAAGCGACCGTCTGAAGCCGGTTGGGAAACCCCGCTATCAGCCACATGGCTCCCTTGACTCTTTGATGGGCCAGTTATGCCAGGAAACGGGCTCTGCGTCTTGGCGGAGTTTGCCCTAAAGAGCAGCAATCCGACCAAACAAAGCAATCTTGACTTTGGCGTAAAACGAATATCGTACAACGGTTGGTAATTCCCAGCAAGCCCGTGGCGTTCTACAACGCTGTTCATCAAAGGGAACCAGGAAGAGGCGACATTCCAAAGACCCGATTTCCGCGCGCCAACCGCCTACATACACCCGCCCATATAGAAGACAAGGCTCGCTCTGGAACTCATCAATCCCTTTCTTTGGTCTTCCCTTGCGTTACAGGCTTACAGGCTAAAGCCACTATGCTTAGGAGGATCACAAAACCTCCAGAGACCCGCCTCTTCCGCAGCCTTTCGGACGGAAGTGATCTCGTCCGGTGTCACAGCGCGATTTATCTCCGCGTACCGCTTCTTCTCGGTGCCATTGTCCTCGGTCTCCGCTGGCGATTGTTGTTGTGATGGGGTCTGCTTCTTAGTCGTCGTCCTTTTGGATGGCCTACCCACATAGGCATCCGGGTGGTACTGCTCCATAATATTCACGAAACAGTCTTGAGACACGTCAGTTGCGAGAAACCTCATGATCTCCGCGCCCTCGGCCTCGAAGCCCGGCATGACCAGGTGGCGCACAAGCAATCCCCTTTTGGCGAGGCCGTCTGCAGTAAAGCAAAGATCCCCCACTTGCGCCTGCATGGCCCGGATACTCTCCCTTGCCGTGGCTGCATAGTCGTCTGCTTTGAGAAGGCGTTTCGCGCTCGTCGGCGACCAGAGCTTGAAGTCTGGCAGATAGATATCCACCAACCCGTCCATCAGTTCAAGCGACTCCAGCGAATCGTAGGCCGACGTGTTGTAGATGATGGGCAGCCTGAGCCCCTGGTCCCGGGCGTGGAGAATACTCAGGGCTACCTGGGGGACGACACTGCCAACAAGAAGAAGATAGGTACTCAGCCCAAAGCATCCATCGGTCAGGCTCGGCCACTCACTGCTCGGGGGTGATGAGGTTGATATTGTGCACATTACCCACTTCCTGGAGCTTGATGTACCTGTGCTATGTCAGCCTAGGGCGAGAAGAAACAGAGGTATCCCTCCCGTTTTCCCCTCCCCACTCCTCCGCTCCGCCGGTCAGTGTCAGTAAGACCTAGTAGAAACGAACATACCACTCCCCAAGTTCCTCAGGCGTAAGATCCATCCCATTCCGCTGGTGAGCAATATCATGATTCTGACAAAACACACAACGCAAGTTACACATACTAAAGAACACCGCACCACTCCCATGATGCCCTTGCACACAAGGCTCCTCACCAAAGTGCGGCGCAATGACGTTGACCTTGGCCGTCTCGGCGCCGATGAGACACATTCCCGTGGTCTCGTAGCGGTTCACGCCGCACCGCCGCGGACACAGGTTGCAGTTGCGCAGGTGGGCGTACGCGCGCGACCGCTTCAGGGCGGCGTCGACCGAGCTGAGCGAAAGGTATCGCGGGGTGTAGTCATCTAGGAGGAAGGGCGGTGCCAGATGCAGGGCTCGCCGCTGCTGCGGGTGCTGCTGCGGGTGCCGTCGAACGACGCCGACTCCGACTCCGACTCCTCCTGCTGATGCTGCTGCTGCCGTCACCATCCCTCCCAACCGCAGATGCCGTGAGACATATGCGGACCTATTACGCGCGGCTCGGAAGACATGCCGTTGGAGCGCGTGCATATTCCCTAGGTCTCCCTCGGCCTTGCCGAATGAACACAGTGTTTTTTTCCTACCGCGTCGATGTGCAGTAAGCACAACGGGCCTCTCAACTTAGAACCCGGCGCCGTGGGATCTCGCGCCAGGAGCAAACATGTCAAATGGTAGGTAAATCGGGGGGTTTTGAAGCGGGCAGCAAATGCTGCTTCAACCAGTCGCGGATTAACCCGTCTGTCTGTTCGTTTGAGTGCCGGCTTGATTTGGTTCCCGGGTGGAATTTGGCATCGAATTGTGCTTGCCCAAGGGGTAGGTTTGATCGATTAATTTGATTGAGGGAGGGAAACTTGATTGCCAGTGTTAGAGTGAGATCTTGACAGTGGGGTGAGTTTTGGGGAACTTGCCCAGCATGGAGCTCACCCCCTCCGCATGTAACTCGAAAATCATTTTCTCCCATTGGTCAAGACCCTTGTTGCCAAACCCCACATCGAGACTCTTTTCTCTGTCCCCTTAATACGGCCAATCACAGCAGTGTATTTTTATCAGACTTCCCTTTTCAGGCACGAGGAGACTGGACTCTTGACATTTTCATGCTTCACCCAACCCTCTAATACCTTACTCGCCATATTTTACTACAAGTCTTGGAGCATTAGATACCTAATGCTAACGTTATTTCAAAAAACAACCCGTCAACCCAATCGTTATTTGAGATATTTGGTGGCAACTGGCAACCGGTCGTGCTTGGGAGCCCATTGCTTGTGTTTCCCAGATGTTTGTCAACCGAGCGAGCCCAGAACTCTGGCACTCCTCTGCATAATACGAACGTAATTACCAAGCCTCCCTTCGCCCAACCACCTACTGTGTAACCAAAACCACAATCCTCGCCAACTCAAACACATTCATGCCAACCAACGCCATAACCACAGGCTCCTAACTCCCCATTCGTCCGTCCGTATGTCCAAAATGGAAAGAGGGAGAAAACCCCTCGTGAAATCCCATGCTCCTTTAGGTACCCCCTTGCACCCTCCTCACAGTTGTCGTATCCTGCCTACTCGCACCATTTCGTTAGCATCTTTGGTTTTCTCGCCAACTCCCCGTGTAGTAGCCAACTGCGTAGAAGAAACAAGGTACTTACTCAATCTTCCCAACACCCTTCAACCTCAAGTACACATCCGTCCCCCACCCATGCAAACTCTGCACCGCAATCCCACCCCCAAAATACTCCGCATACGCCCTACTCAACGGCAGGCCATATCCCAGCCCAGCAATCGAGCTACTCCCGTTACTCGCCGCCGAAATGACACTGAGCCCATCCCCCCCACTACCACCACTGACACCGGCGTAGCTGGGACCACTGCTGCCCGCCCATGACGACGCGCTTCCCGCACCAGGGACGTCGTCGGATTCGTTAAAAGTAGTGAAGGAGTAGCTCCAGATGTTGGGAAGCACGTCCGGGCTGATGCCGCCGCCGCGGTCCCGAATGCGGATGGTGACGCCGGGGGCGTTGTCGTCGAGCGGGGCGATGGTATCGCGGTCGAAGGCGCCGCGGGATTCGTGGGGCGGGCTGAGATGTACTTGGCCTTGTCCTTGTTGTTGTTGTTGTTGTTGTTGTTGTTGTTGTTGTTTGGGAGGGGGCTTAGCGCCGGGCGGCTCGGGAGCGATGGTGATGACGACGGGCTCGCGGCTCATGCCGTTCTCGACTGTAGCACGGAAGGCGTTTTTGAGTAGCTCGGTGATGATGTACTCGAGATGCATGGGTACGAAGGCGAAAGTGGTGTCGGGTTCACCGTCTATGATCCACTCTGGGCGCACGCCGTAGTTGAGCTCGCAGATGTCGGCTACGAAACCGCCGCAGGAGTCGATTGTTGATGTGGGACGTAGGGCGGTGTCGATCACCCCGATGTAGCTGGGGTGTTCGGGGCAGGGCGTTGGGCTCGCGGACGGGTCGAAGTGCGGGGTGCTACTGAAATGTAGGGCGATGTGCTGCTCCGCTACGAGGCGTGTACCGATGCGAGCGCGTAGATGCTCGTCGAGGAAACGGGTCACTTCGGAGGGGGAGATGTACTTGCGGCACTCGAGAAAGCCACGGGCAAGGATCGGTATGGTATCGGTATGCGTCTGTACTAGCTCCGCGAGCACTTCGGTAAACCGTATTTCATCTTCCAGATTGCTAATCGTACGCCCTTGCCAAGGTAGCAGCGTCGATAGCGAGTGTTGGTAGTTGTTATAGATCTTGTTGATATTAGGATTCGACACTACAATGTACGGGAGGTTTCGCAGGGCTTGGATACGATGAGAGAGTCGGATCGGGAGCAGCGAGAGGGTAAAACGGGCAGATGCTAAGAGCGCCTCGGCCGATAGTGGAGGACGGCCATGTCTGAAGAGTCAGGTGTCAGGCCCAAGTGAAATGGAAGGATAACGGCAGGGTATGTTACTTGACGAGGTCCACGAGACTCAATGGGTGTAAAGGTTGCTTTGCCAGATGGGGGGCGACATCAACATCAAGACGTCGTGGCTCGTGCTCGATGGTTCGTGAAGCTTGCGGGTGATGATGCGCAACCGATGCATCTTTCAAGTGCTGGAGAGTGGACGCCGCTCTCCGGGTGCCATTGAAGGTCTGGGCCTTCCTGGGCAAGAAACGCAGCGGCCGTGCAAGAGAACGCCTCATGTCGGCATATTGCGCAGGGTCGTGGGGTTGGAAAGTCAATCAGCTGCGGGTATGTATGTACCCGCTGGTGGAGACAAACCAGCTTCTCGTTGTCGTTGGGAGGTCGTTGGGGGCCGTTTCCGGAATTGCAAAGGCGTTCAAGTCGATTGGAAGCTCCGTAGGGAATGAGGAAAGTCGGAGTTAGAAAACCATAGGCAGAACGACTCGAAGGGGAGCCCGTTTGTGAAAAGAAGCGGTCAATTCCTCTAGAATTTGCGGTGGTGTGACTCCTTCAGGCACATGCCATCAACGAGACGAGACCATGGGCAAATCCAAGCCTATGACGACAGGCCTAGCCGCATTGGGTAAGGCGCCCTACTGCCCTGGGACGGGGCTCACGCGAGATTCTCAAGCCCCTGGCAACATATTGCTAGGATTTCATGCAGGGTAAAAGGTTGAACCAAATTTAAATCTAGAAATCAACAATATAGGATGAAAATATGATTTCAGCGGAATTGGCGGTAAAATCTGGCAATGCATAAGTGTCTTTGCTTGGTGAATGCAGGCGCAGAGTAGCAGCTGAATCACCCAGCAACACCACCCCGCTGCCCCGCGATTACACCCCGCACCTTTCCCCCTCTCACTCTCCAGGCTGGTGTCTCACTCCCCATCCTGTTTTCTATTGAGTATTGACCACACCATCCAGCTCGACGGCCTTAACATGCTCGTGGCTCTCCAGGGTCTGAATGGCGTCGTCGGGGAAGGTGACTCTGCAAACGACTGCGTTAGTTATGCTGTCAAGAAAGCGCAGTGTGAGGTATTCAACCGTCGGGAAGCCTTACGCGAAGGCCTTGATTAGGCTGTACTCATGGCTGATCTGGCCGCCCTGGTCTTGAGCATGCTTCTTGGCCCTGTATAGAGTGTCAATTTGATCCTCATGATGTCATGTTTTTGAAGGCTTCCTTACGCGGCGACTTCCTCTGGGCTCGCGTCGTCCTTGAGGGTGACCTAGACAGTCGTGTCAGTATCGCCGTGCTGCGGGGTCCACATGTGATGGGAGAAGCGTACAATGTAGGAAGGCATGGTTGCTCTGGTGTACGTTGAAGGTAGTTGAGTGGTGTTGAGGGATCCGTGGGCTATCTTCGCGATGTGAAGTGGTTTGTGTTGTTAGAGGGAAATGTGGTTGGCAATACCCGAGGTTTGGGTCTTGGTACTTATACCTGACCACAGATGAACACCGGGGCAACCAGCTGCTTGTTTGGGCCAGGTTGGAGGCCGTGGAGGCCCAGCCTTAGGCTTGCGTGACGCGGCGTGGGAAAGACCTGAAGAGGGGAATACGTCATGCGCCTAGTAGGATGGGATGGTGCAAGCAAGCCGCCCCGCTTACCCGCGGCTTCAGCTGTCAACTTACACGGCGAAATGGGGTACAAATTCCGTAATACACTGACGAAGCACAGTTGAGTGTCCATGAACCAGGAATTCCTTTTATATGAACCCGAGGGAGGATGCTCGACCGTTGAATGAACGGATTCATGCCGGCTCTGTTGAATGTGTTATCACAGCAGACTCCCACACCAGAGCAGCTCAGCAGGCTCCATTTCCTGCGACTATCTCAAACAAGCAGGTCGATTGTGGTACTGAGTCTACTATGTAAGTTCATGAAGCCCCACCGGCGCTTGTCTGGGTGTGTCTGCGCAGACCCCGCCATGTCGCTGCAGTACGGTGGGTCTACCGCCTGCCTTATCGATAAGATCACTGCCGCCCAAAAATTTCTGGGGCCCTTTGCGCAAAGGAAATGGTGAACTGCGCGAGCAATTGAATTGAGGCGAGCACCCGCGACTTGGGACTCGGTGCAGCGAAACCTCGACGCACCACCACAAAGGGGTTGTCAACATGGACGGCCAAACGCACAAACCCCATCGGGTGTCTAAGAAGTCCAAGGAAAAGAAGACACAACATCAAGGCGGTGGGTAGCCGTACGAGTTCAAGGAGTGCGATTGATGTGAAGCTCACGCGACTCCAGGCCAAAACCCCAAGGCTTTTGCCTTTTCCAACCCCGGAAAGCTTGCAAGACAGGCGGCTCGCTCTCACGATGTAGGCTTTTGCGCTACTTGGGTAACTTCAGCACGCATCTTGTCAATGCTGACACTCGCACTCCCAGATCAAAGAGAAGCGTCTCCACGTTCCGCTCGTCGACCGTCTTCCCGATGAACCGCCTCCGCGCCTCGTCACCATTGTCGGCCCACCCGGCGTGGGCAAGACAACATTACTGTGAATATACTTCGTTTTCTGATATGGGAGAGAGATTGTTGAGTTGCTGACTTGTGATGCGACTGCGCAGCAAATCATTCATCCGCCGCTATGCGAAAGAGACCATCTCCGACCCCGTCGGGCCCATCACCGTCGTCACCTCCAAGAAACAGCGCCTGACATTCATTGAGTGCCCGAACGAGCTGGAGGCCATGGTCGATATCGCCAAAGTCGCCGACATTGTGCTGTTGATGATCGACGGGAATTACGGCTTCGAGATGGAGACGATGGAGTTCCTCAACATTCTCGCCGCGACCGGTATGCCGGGCAACGTCTTTGGTATTCTCACCCATCTCGACCTATTCAAGAAGCCGCAGGCACTCAAGGACGCCAAGAAGAGGTTAAAGCACAGGTTGTGGAGTGAACTTTACCAGGGTGCCCATCTCTTCTACCTGTCCGGTGTTCTCAACGGACGCTACCCCGACCGTGAAATCCACAACCTATCCCGCTTCCTCTCCGTCATGAAGAACCCCCGGCCGCTCGTCTGGCGAAACACCCACCCCTACACGATCATCGACAACTATCGAGACATCACCCACCCGACCAAAGTCGAAGAGGACGAGCACTGCGACCGGTCCATCGAACTGTCGGGCTATCTCCGCGGCACCAACTTTGCCGCGCAGGGGCAAAGGATACACATTGCGGGCCTCGGAGACTTCACAATATCCAACATGGAGGTGCTCCCAGACCCATGTCCCACGCCCGCCATGGAGCAAGCGCTGGCAAAGATCACCGGAAAGACAGGGAGGAGGCGGCTGGATGAGAAAGACAAGAAGTTGTGGGCTCCGATGGCTGACCGGAGTGGTATGAAGATCACGGGCGACCACATCGTCATCACCAGGGAGAAGGGCTTCGCGTTCGACAAGGATGCCGAGGGCGTAGAGCGTGGGGAGGGTGAACAACTCATCGTCGATCTTCAGGGTGAACGCCGGCTCCTTGGTCATACCGACAAGGGGGTGAAGCTCTTTGCTACTGGGGAGCAGCTTGCCGAGGTACCGGAGGATCCGGACAGCGGGAGAACGTCCCAAAGGAAAGCCCGCTTCCTTGAGCGGAATGGGTCGGACGACGAGGCGGATGTGCCGGAGGACGAAGGGTTTGTCAGTGGAGAGGAGGAGGATGAGGAAAAGGAAGGGTCTGACGTCGAGGCCGAGTTTGATGAGCAGAAACTAGGCAAAATGTTCCGGAAACAGACCGACAAGGACCAAGGGGACGACGTCGCCTTTGCCGACAGTGACTCCGACCTAGGCTCCTTGTCCGGGGAAGAGGATCTGGACGATGACGATGAGGACGACGAGGATGAAAACGAGGAATTCGATTCGGACGAGGAGGGTGCGGCAGTCAAGTGGAAGGATAACATGATGGAGCGTGCCAGGGCGCTGCATGGGAAGAGGCGGCCGTATCGGGCAGTGGACCTGGCCAGGTTCATGTATGATACGAGTCTGACTCCCAAGGAGGCGCTTCAGAAATGGCGGGGAGAAGAAGACGAGGAGGCAGAGGAGGACATCGAGCAGGATGACGACACCTTCTTCCGGAAAACTGGGAATGACGAGAAGGAAGACCTTGCCGAGGATAGGTCGATTCCCCGGTTTGACTATGAAGACTTGGCGGCCAAATGGTCGAACACAGACGCCGTCGAAGCTTTGAGGAGTCGGTTCGCCACGGCCAACTTGCTTGATGAAGATGGGGCCGACGATGACTTTGGTGATGACGATGGTGACGAAGATGGGTTTGGGGACGAGGATGAAGATGATGAGGGCGATGGTGCGTTTGAGGATCTCGAAACGGGGGAATCGCACGGGCTCGATCAGGAAGAAGAGGAGGGGAGAAGCGACGATGAGCCCGAGGAGAGTCTTGAAGCAGAACGAGCAAAAAACGCGCGCCGCAAAGAAGAGCTCAAGCTACGCTTTGAAGAGGAGGATCGCGAGGGGTTCAAGAACGACAAGGCCGTCGCGAGGAGAGAAGGCGGCGACCAAGAGTTTGGCGAAGATGAATGGTACGAGGCACAAAAGGCCGTGCTGCAAAAACAGCAGGATATCAACAAGGCCGAGTTTGAGGAACTCGACGAGGCCCAGCGGACGTCGGTCGAAGGGTATCGCGCGGGCAAATACGCCAAGATAACCCTCGACGGTGTCCCAGCCGAGTTTGTCAACCGGTTCCAACCGCGATTGCCTATCGTCGTGGGCGGTCTATCAGCCACCGAGGACAGGTTCGGGTTTGTCCAAGTCCGGATCAAGAGGCATCGGTGGCACAAGAAGATCTGTAAGTTTATTCATTGTGGTCCAATTTCACAGCACACGCAAACGCTAAGTAACTCCTTCTCACAGTGAAAACGGGCGACCCCCTGATCTTCTCGCTCGGCTGGCGGAGGTTCCAGTCTCTACCCATCTACTCCATCTCGGATTCCCGGACGCGGAACAGGATGCTCAAGTACACGCCCGAGCATATGCACTGCTTCGGTACCTTCTACGGGCCCCTGATCGCCCCCAACACGGGCTTTGCCTGTTTCCAGACCTTTTCCTCCACCAACCCAGGGTTCCGGATTGCCGCTACGGGTACAGTATTGAGCGTTGACGAGTCCACCGAGATCGTCAAAAAGCTTAAGTTGGTACGTTCATCCCTATCCTTTCATCTTCCCCACGGTCTTGGGTAGTCAGTAGTCTAGTCATCAACAAAAACCTAACAACACCATAGACCGGAACCCCCTACAAGATCTTCAAAAACACCGCCTTCATCAAAGGCATGTTCAACTCCTCCCTCGAAATCGCCAAATTCGAAGGTGCCGCCATCAAAACGGTCTCCGGCATCCGCGGGCAGATCAAGCGCGCCCTCTCCAAACCCGACGGCCACTTCCGCGCAACCTTCGAAGACAAAATCCTCGTCAGCGACATCGTCTTCCTCCGCGCCTGGTACCCGATCAAACCCCACCGCTTCTACAACCCCTCCACCAACCTCATCGGCTGGCAAAGCATGCGCCTAACCGGCGAAATCCGCCGCGACCAAGACCTCGCCACGCCCCAACTCAAAAACAGCCAATACCGCCAAATCGCCCGCCCAACCCGCCACTTCAACCCCCTCCGCGTCCCCAAAGCCCTGGCCGCCAGCCTCCCCTTCAAATCCCAAATCGTCCAAACCAAACCCCAGCGCAAACAAACCTACCTGCAGAAACGGGCTGTCGTAGCCGTGGGCGCGGGAGCGACGGAAGAGCGCAAAGCCCGCGACCTGATGCAGAAGCTCACGACGCTGCGCAAGGACCAAGCGGCGAAACGGCAGGCCAAGAAGGAAGGGAAGCGCGAGGAGTACAAGAAGAAGGTTGCGTATATTGAGGAGCGGTTGGAGAATCGGGAGAAGAGGGAGAAGAGGGAGTTTTGGGAGCGGGAGGGGCGGAAGAGGAAGGCGGGGGGTGGTGATGGGGGTGGTGGTCGTGGGAAGAGGAGGCGGTAGAGAGTAATTATGGAGTGAGTGAAGGTCGAAGGTTGAAGGAGAAAGTAGAAAGGGGGGGTGTGGAGGTTGATGTTGTTTTTGGGTGTTTGCAAAATACCGGTATAATCAATCATAGAAATCGAAACCAAGTCCAGAAGATATCTGGTCCATTTGGATACCTTCTTCTCTCGAGTCCTACCTCGTGTGAAACAAATACCTTGTGTATCTGAACCTGTCCCAATAGTATCGAAAACAGCCCAACTCAAATGGAGGGCCATAATTTAAAAAACCCCTCCCAAGAACCCGCCTTAGTAACAGACGGCTAGCAAAATTACAGTCGCCCTTCCAAGGCAAAACATGAGAAACATGGGATCTACGCCGATGATCAGACAATAGTGGGCAACAGTGGAAATAGAGAAACTAACTAACCACCTCACTCAAGCCATCGCAAGTTCAACCACCACACAACTTCCACTCCCACGTGACACTCCCCATACCACACATACCACACATACCACACACCACTCACAGCATACACACCACACACACAGATCACCCAAAAACTAAGTTCCTCAACATCACATTACTAACCTAAGTACATTACGACTCAACTCAGCTCAACTCAACTACTCCCGTATCAAACAAGAACCAATCAATCCCAAAAAGCAGGAGACGAGATAAGACAGACCAAGCAAGACTAGAAGACTAAGAGGAATTGGGACAAAGACTTTCAATGGTTGATGATAATGACAATGATGCTGATGATGATGATGATGACAATGACAACAACGACGACGACAACTGGCAATGATCCAAAAGAGACAGACAAGAGAGCAAGCAAGAAACCTGCTGCATTCTTGGATCACTCAATCCATCCAATGCCAGACGAGCCAGGAAAACCACAACAATAGACAAGAGAGAGGGGAAGAGAAAAACCCATAATAATCCAAGAAACCCCCTTAAAAGAGCCACAGAGAGAGAGAGAGAGCAAAGCTAACAACAACAAAAACTATCGAGACAGCCCATTAAAACCATGGCCGCTCAAACCAAGCCAAAAAAAAAAAAGCAAACCGCTGGCTGGCCTACTGCATCTAATCCCATCTCCCTTCTTTACCTCATCCAACTTCCATTAAGTTATTTTCTCCCCCTATCTTACTTTACTCCTTCCCCCTTCCCAACTCACATATTCGCCAACTCATTATCAATCTGCCGATCCATAAACGTCCTCCTCTCCCCCGTAAGCTCCGTCTGCAACCTCTGCTCCACCAGCGCCCGCACCTGCTTCTTGGTGACCGTGTCCAAGTCCACCTCCCTTAGCACCGCCTGAATGGCCTCAATAATCGAGCCGTCATCCACCATCGCACCGCCACCGAAGCCACCCACGCCGAACGAGCCCGTGCTCAGGTCCGAGTGCAAGCCCAACCGGCTTGGCGTCGCCGACATTGTCGACATCCGGTTGTTGTTACCGACCACGCCGAGAGTCGGTGGCGTAGCGCTCATGCCGCGAATGTTAGCCGCACTGTTGCTTCGTGGGACGTCCACATAGGGGCTGTGCGAGCGACGCTGGTCCATGCCCGCGCCGCCCATCGACATCATGCTCTGGCGATGGGCCAGGGCGGCGGCGGCGTTCGGGTTGTCGGTGTACGGGGTGGTCCCCATAAGAGTGCTGGCGCGGGTCATCGGAGTGAACGGGGTGCCAGGGGTACCAGGAGTAGGAGGCATGTAGGCGCTAACGCCACGCCCAGGGAGGTTCAGGACCGAGGGCTGACGGACCGAGGAGTAAACGGACTTCATATCATCCATCTCGTAGTTCTCGTCGTACATGCCCATGCCGCCCTCCATGCCGGCCTTCTCCGGGTGTCCACCGCGACGTCCGGGAAGATTGTTGACGAGAGCGTAGTCATCCCAGCGCTGGAGGGGCACGGCACGGGGATCGAAGCCCTCGTCGTCGACGGCCACCACCTGCTTCTTGCCCGACTCGCCAATAACGATACGCGTGTTACCCCACGAGAAGTTGTCCTGGTTCCAGAACGAGTAAATGGGCAAGACGAAGGAGTAGACCGGGAAGGCGATGATGTAGATGATCATCCAGCCAACGTGCTGCCACTGGCGCTTGAGAATGAAGATGAGCGCCTGCAGGCCGTAGACAGCGGCCAACATGATGATGGAAATCAGGGGGAACGGGCCGGTGCGGGTAGCGACCGTGTAGATGAGCCAGCCGAGGTAAACGCACGTTGCCGGCAGAATGATGGTACCGAAGAGATCAATGAACACGATGAAGCGCATGGAGAAGCAGCAGAAGCCGCACATCTCAGGCAGGAACATCAGCTCAACCAGGTTGTGGATGGTCGAGTTGATCCAACGACGACGCTGGGAGAGCAAGACACTCCACTTCTCGGGCGCAGCGGTCTGGCAGTAGGCATCCGGGATGAACTTGTACGACATGTACGGGAAGTACCGTGTCATCAGCGTGGTCAGGTAACGATCTTCACCCAGCGACAACAGGTTCTTTTTGTGAAGCGTGTCCACGTTGCAGTCGCTGTAGTCGCGGATCACGTCGTCCGAGATGATGAGAGGCCGGCCCTTGTCCGCAGTTCGCAGACGGTACATGGAGAAACTGGACAGCTGTTAGTTTTTGCCAGTTCGCCCATCATAATATCAACCGCCCAAAATAAAGAGAAAGGGGAAAGAAGGGGGAAAAAGAGAGAAGGGAACATACCATCCTGGCAAGCAAGTGACGCTGCCAAACAGAGATTCGAAGGCCTTGGCGAGATGATGCGAAATGTAGTATTCGTAAACCTGGATCATAGTCCACCACGAACGTTCCTCATTCTGCAAGCTCGTCTCGCCGCAAATACCGGCAATCTTGGCATCGTTGGCGCACGCAGCAACAAGGCGGTTGAGCGAATCCTCGCGGACACAGGTATCGGCATCAACCATCAAAAGGTACTCGTACAGCTCGGGATCCACGCCAATGATGTTGTTGATCTGGTGGAACATCTCCAGCTCGAGCGGGTTCATCGGCGCGCGGTGATGGACACGGTTGAGGAAGCTCATGAGCAGAATCTGCGAGTCACGCTTGCCGCGATTGCCAGGCTTGGCCTTCTCGCGCTCTGCCTCCCTGCCCACCTTCACGACCACGAGATACGGAACGACGTTACCTTCGTACTCGTACAGGCCAGAGTACACCTTGCCGTAGTTGAGCTGGTCGCCGCCGGCACCAACCGACTTGAACGCCAGGGCAGGCGGGTCGACCTTGGGGTCAACACCGAGAATATCCAAGACAATCTTGGGCGTGGGACGGTCGTTCCCGGCACCGACAATGATACCATCGCAGATGACGCAGATCAGCTTGCGCTTGTTGTCGTACTGCAGGGCCGTGAGGGAGTCGAGCGCCTTCCGCAGCGAGTCTTCGCCTTCGGTATACGCGGGCACCTGGCAGATGACGAACTTGTCTTGAGGCGATGGGCGTCGCTTGGAGCCAAACTGCAGAGCGGACACGAACTTGATGAGAATGACGGAGCAGAGAATCGCCGTGAAGGCAATGAGGATCCACGTGTTCACCTGGCACCTGGCGGAATCGCGGTAGTCTGTGATGCCGAGGTAGAACCGGTTGTTGAGGCAGTTCATCGTGTTCTTCATGTTGACGGTCTCGGTGGCGTTGGCATTCCGGATCATGTCGTTTATCTGATCGGTAAGATCCTGGCCCGGGTTGTTTTTGACGAGATTGACCATTTTGGCGTTGAGGAAGGTCCAGCGGGGATTATTGCGTTGGACCCTCAGCGTGTGCATGTAGTCGGTCAGATCAAAGACCTTGTTCTCGTAGAGGAACCACGGGCGTTGATTGTTGTTGCCCTCGTCCCAGATCTGGCTGGGTTTCCAGACGAGATCGCCGGTGATGTACTCCTTCATGCGGGGCAAGAACTTTTGGCTGTACCAGTTTTCTTTCCCCATTTCCCCGGTGGGGTCCCTGGCGTAGTAGCCCGAGTCGTGGATGGCCAGCTGCCACTCCTGCGAGTCGCTGTTGTTGAGATTGAGCTGGACCGTCTTGTCTGTCACCAAGCCGGGGCATGCGAGAGTGAGGGGCACGATGAAGTAGTTGTCCATGTCAAGGCCGCCCAGAGGTTCCATGTATTCGCGCGTGGTTGGGTACGCGTCCGTACCGTGGTCCAGCTTCCAGAATTTGGAGATGTCGTAAACCTTGCCGTGGACACTGACCCAGAAATCATCCGCGCCCTGGTGGTTCTTGACTTCGTTCCGCAGCCAGGCTTTGTCGTAGTTGGGGCAGAGCAGTTTACCGAAGAAGATAATCCAAAACACAATGATACCGTTCAAGATGATAATGAAGAAACAGAGCACCACCTTCTCTCGCCACGCCATCCGCACATCGGGCCGCTTCATACGACCGACATACCGGAGGAGGGGGGAGGGAATCCAGAAAGTGAAAATCCAGACGATGATAACCCACGCCCTGCGGCCAGGGGAAATGGGCTGCTCCTCGAGCTTTTTGCCAGCAGCAAGGTCGCTCTCAAGGCCGACGAACTGGCCATCCTCGTTGTAGTAGACATCGCCCTTGTGGGTGTCGCCTTTACTGCCGAGGCCATAGTCGCCGGCGGCGACATTGCGCATGCCGGTCATGGCAGTCGGGGCAATGGACGGGGTAGCCCCAGTGCCAATGCGCTGGCCAGCGGCCGCCGCGAGGGTCGCCTGGCTCATGTTCCTTTGATGAACAAGCTGCTCACGGCTGCCGTTCGAGGAAATGTCCTGGAAAGGCTGAGGAGGGAAGAAGCCACTCCCGGTAGCCGAGTAGCCAGTCCCGAGGCCAGTCGGAGGACCAAGGTTAGGCATGCTCCCAAGCCGCTCCGCATCGCCAGGCTGGAGATCAAGGGCAGCTTCAGCCTCCCACCAAGCATTCTCCCTCATCCAGATACGCTCACGGCCAAGCACAACCTCTCCATTGGCCCAACCCCGCTCCAGGATCCAGCTCTCGATGCCATCTCGGCCGTCCATGCAGCCAAGCATGCGATACCGGGACACAAACTCCTCGAAGTCAAAGTCCACAGTGTAGTCGAGCTGCTTGCTGCGCCGATTGGCCCACTCGGGCAACCGCCAGGCCCGCAGTTGTCTAGACACGGTGCCAGCCGACCACGCCGAGTTGACGGAGGGCAGAGCAGCCAGGCTAGCTGGCGACTCATCCGTGGGGTGGATGCAGAGGTGGTACCAGGCGCGGCTGGTGCTGAGCAGGGCAGGCAAATCGATACGCCCGCTGCGACCAAGGTTGATGCCCTCAGCAGCTACGGGAATCAAGAGCTGCTTCAAAAACCCGTCGTCCTCGGACGAAAGCGCCACCTTCTCCAAGACCTCTTCCCGCTTCTCGAGCATGTGTTGCCGCTCCCTACCAAGCGACCCCACCATGATGCCCAGTTCGGGGCCGGCCTCCGCGACGGCAGTCTGCATCTCCCGCAGAACAGTGCTGCCAACCGCAGCCACCTCGACACCATCCTGTTTCATCTCGGAATTGATGCCCTGGTTATCATCAAAAATACCCCGCATGGCAACGGCCTTGCCGAGGTTGGGATCAGGAAGCTCGAGGAAGTGCAGGCACACGGTATCGCCATTGTCCTCAACCGAGTTAGGGGTCCGGCCAGTTTGGCTGCCGTCGGCCGATTCCTCTCCGTCCTTAATGCGGGCCATTTGGGCGGCAATGGCCTCGTTGGCCTTGGCAATCACCCAGTCTACCAGTGCCTCATACAGTCCCCCGAGGAGTGTAGCACGATCATCTGTGGTGCACTGCCTGGCGAGGACCTCCGGCTCCAAGCCGAGGAGGCCACCAACATCCTCGCTAACCTCATCAAGGACATCCTCGTCCACATTATAGTCGATGGTATTGCCAAGTTTGAGCAGACCAGCGAGAGTGGAGATAAAGTTGCGGTGGGCAGATCCCTTGATGCCGATCTCCTTGAGGGCGGTGCGGAAGTCGTCCGCCGCTGCGCCGTCATCAGCGGTGGGTAGGTAGGACGGGGGATCGTAGGTGCCAGAGCGCGCTAGCAAGTTATAGCTCGAGGCGCCCTTAAGGCCGAGGAATTCACGTTCGGCCGGTGTGGAGGCCGAGGTGAGGAGGTAGTAAAAGACGTCGAAGGCTCGGTTGCCAGGCTCGGTCGGGATGCGCAGCAAGCCCTTGTCCGTGTCAATTCCTCCTTGCGAGAGAGCCACGGAACCGCCGACGATCTTGCCGGTGAGGTTAAGCGTCAAAGTAACGCCGAGGGCAACCTGTCGGGGGGTCGAGGGGTTGTATGGTGTTACACATCGGAGGAAGGGCTCGATGGCCTGCAGCGACTGGAGGATCGAGCTCGGGACGGCGACAGGAAGCGAGGAAAGGGCAGGTCGTAGCAACGAAGGAGTGGAGGTGTGCAGCGAGCTGATCACAACCGTTAGCACGGAGTACAAGAATGGAACACAGATCTGTATTCTCCTTAACTTACCCGAAGATGATGCAGCCATCCTCGGCACGACGACGGGCGTGTTCCCACGCTCGTGTCACCAAGTCACCATCTATTGTTCCGCCGACAAGACCCGTCGGGCTCGGCTGTGAGGCTGTCAACCACGTGTTGACGACGAGGCTGGTGCCCGCGTCGAGCTGGTATGGCTGGGAGGAAAGGTAAATGTTATGGATCGAGTTCAGCAGGGTCGTCGTCGAGACCTGGGACGGCTGCTGGCCGCCCCGAGAGCCCCCCAAGCCGGACTCCGAGGCCATCGAGTACATGGACATGCGGTTCGCCATGGTGGCGGCTGGTGGTCCTTCGGCGTCCCAGTAGGGAGGAGGCCGAGGGCGAGATCTGGTGCTGATGTGTTGGTTTTGTTCGAGGTATCTGAGCGTTCGTCGGCGATGTCAACAAACCCCCGAATCCAAGTATGGATGGTGTCGAAGGCCGCCCAAGCGGCGCGTAGAGGTCGATATCGATATAAAACCTAGCGAATGTTCTTGTGCAAGGAATCGAGAGGGACGGTACGGTGCGGGTTCTGTAGTGGGATGCGGGTTGGTCGCGGCGGCAACCAGTGACCCGGTGCTGAATGTCCCCTCGGGTAACCCCTATCTCTAGCAGGCCACGTCAAAAAAACAAAAATTATTAACGAGGTCAAGAGAGAAAACAGTACTGCTCTTCCCTCGGTATCAGCCTCACGAACAACAACAGCAAGAGAAAATCAATGACCGGAAGGAAAAGCCGTCAGAGCGAGTGAGACGGGGTGAAGAGAGGTCAACGAGGGAAACAATGTGCCAAATTGCAGAGAAGGCAAGATCGGAAAATCTCAAGATAGCCCAGCAAGACGGCGGCGGGTGGACCAGGGGAGGCCAGGCAAAGACACGCATGGGAAGGCACAAACGAGCGTGGTTGCAGTGGGCTGGCTCCTGGTGGCAGACGCGAGGGCGTGCCTCCAAGGAAGCCAGGGGACCATTCCTGCCCAGAAAACAGAAGAAGATGCACGGCGGTTGTCCGGGAGTGGCTACGGCGGTTGAAAGCTCCTGATGCGCAAATTGCAACGAGGCGAGCTGACTGGAGAAACATTGGGGTGGGTCAGGATTTGCATGATGTGCCGCGTTAAGTCTGGGCATTTCGCCGGATTGGGCCTGGAATGGTTGTCGCCCGGAGACGCCATGCTTTTTGCCAATCACTGCAATTTTCATCGTGGAAAATCCCAGACGTATGCAATTAGACGGAAATGCATAGGAAACCGTTGTGCAACACTGTTTTGTGCATACATCGTTGGCTTTCCGTCGAAACAGGCGGACAGCCAGAACGACATGAACGGGCAGATTTCCCATTTTCCATTGATCTTAGCATTGCACCCCCGCTGTCATACATTCCCGTCGTCGTCTGACGAAGCTTCGTTAATTTTTTTTTCCGCGCCGTCCCACGATGGTGGCGTCTGATGACTGGAGGATGGCATCTGAAGCAGCGCGGCGGTGCAGACCCCAGAGGCCTAAAAAAGGGTCTCCCACGGCAGCTCCCGGCGGGCCACTGGTGAATACGAGGCCCTGGCAACACCCACATCATGCGCTGCAGCCCACCCGCTGCTCCAACACCCCATAAACAGGCATTGCAGGTGTCGTGTGGAAGAAGCTGCATTCCTGAACACACCACACCAGAGCTCCACGGGTTGTCGTCGATGCATCCAGCCCGGCCGATGACCGAGAACCCGAGGTTTTCAAGGCGCAGCCCGCCGGCGGCTCCGTGTGGAGTGTTCCCTCTTTTTCTTTTGCCTTCGTTCGTGATCCGAGCTAGGCAATAACTACATACACGAATTATCCGTATTCTGCTTCCCATAAATCTCCAGTCCGCACATCAACACCCGCTGGCTGATAAACCGCAGGGTGTGCCCAAAAAGGCGGACGGAATGGCGGGTTATTGTGTAATATGTTGTGTCTCGGGAATGTCCACGACACAGTCTAGTGTAGTGTAGCTCCGGTGTTAGAATCCTAGCGCACAGCGAAGATCGTGTCGGTCCGCCAAAACCTGGGGTTCGGATGCAGAGAAGGGCTGGTCGTCAATTGTCTTTCGTCCAAACTCGGACTTGCGATGAACGGTGGGCATCATCGACGCCGCTGCCATTCTTCCTGTTGGAATCCTCCTACCACTTAGTTCAGACTCTGCCTGGAGTGAGCCGCAAAGCAGCGTTTTCTCAAACGTAGTCTGGAGTGTCGTCCGGCGCAGCACAACAAACTTGTTCTCGCCGCATACAGGAGGAGGCGGGTTGATGGAGCCGGAAAAATGTAATGTATGAGCCTCGATGGCGGCATCTGGAGGCTCGGTTCGTGTTGGGGATTTGCGTCCTTGAGGGTGGGTGGAGACGGGAAGATGCCCTTTGTGTCGCCACCCATCGACCGCCCCAATCAACACGCAGCATTACGTTGTCCACCGAAACAATTTGACTGTTTGTACGAGGAATCCAAGTCGGAAGCTTGGAATAACCATAAATCTGCCGAAAATCCTGTTGATGTCGATGCAAATGTGCAGAAACAGAAGTTGATGCGGTCAATGATCCGACCAGACCTTTTTTCACACCGATGTCTGAATCTCAGACAACAACTCGCAACTGAGAGATGGCAGCCAACCAAGCACCAGACAAAAATCTCGAGTTGGTCGAACACCTGCGGCCTCTGAACCCACTATGCATCTATCGCGTAGCCAAGACCTCCGGCGGCTGTCGCCTAGCCAGATCTCACAGTTGAACGGGTGATCCCTGCTCTCCTGAAATGCGAAGTGGGGACGGGGTCCCGGCTGGTGCGGCGAACGCTGTTGATCCTGGTTCAGAAAAGCCAGGAAATCGGGGAATCGCTTCGTCTTGCACCCGCGCCGGCGCTTTCCTAGAAGCAGAGTGAGCCAAGCAGAAAGGGAGGTTGAGTGTGTATGTGAAGAATTAATTCTTCTCAACCGGTAGGCTCAAAGGCTCATGTATTTTGGCGTTGGCGAATTCTGCTCGGTAGAGAAAACTGCATCGGGCTTTCCCAAGGATACGACAAGATTGGAAGACAGCGTTGTGTTCCAGATCTTGTTTATTTTGAGCCACACTCCCGGAATGCGATCCAATGCCTGCCCGGCACGCCGGCTTAAACCGCGCCCCTGCGTTCGTGCCAATTAGGCGGGGTCCGTCCGCGGGGCCAGTTCATGTGGGAAATTCTGCGCACTTGGTCAATCGCGGCTGCCGTAACAGGGATACCTGCCTGGAAAAAAAAACATTCGATTCCCCCTTTCCCTGGTTGGGGCCCGGCCAAGCAGCCCCCCCCTGAACGCGCCTGCCTGTGAGTGCCCAGTGGGCGTATGCTGTGGAAAGGAACCTGGAACTGCTGGGCCAGCGAAACGCATGCAGCAGTTTCCATTCCCATCAACCAGAAGAACTCCCACGTTCTCTCCCCGCGGCTCAGGCCAGACAACATTTTGTCATTTTGTCACACACTCGCTGTTGCCCGCGTCCTTCTTCTTTGTTGAGACTTTCGTTTTAGACATCTTTAGCTGTTTGGAACATACCGCACATCTCCATATCACATCCATTCTTTCCTGGGCTCTGCCGGGCTCTTCCTGGCTGTTGCGGCTCTCTGTTGCTCCCCTTCGGCTGCTCACGCCTTATTTTAATTTTCATTAGCGTGACGAGATCGAGATTGCGGAAATCGAGGCCCGTGCCGCCGTCGCCAACGGGGCCGGACACCAAGGCCGTGGCTTGCTGTCCTCTGGGAGAAATTCCGAACGGCAGCTCTGAACTCTTCCGCATCGACCCGTGGCTCAACTCCTCGAAGCCATTGTCACGAGCAGGAACGCCGACGCCTCGATCACGGCCTGTTTTCGGCCACGCCATACACCACCATGGCACTCAACCTCCCAGTCGGCGGGAACGGCGGCGGAGCCCACACCCAGGCTTCGCTGCCTTCGCTACCCGCCCATTCCCAGTCCGATACACAGTTGACGGCACACCTCGCGAGCCGTTTCCATGTTTCGATCCCGACCGCGCGGCTCTCGTCCCACGCGCTTATCTGCACCAACACGTATTCCGGCTCCACCAAGGGCGATGGCTCGCGAGACTCGTCTGCCCAGGCCGCGGCGGAAGACATGGCCGAGAGGGCCTTGATCAGGATGGGACATCGTCAAGAAAATCAGGCAGTTCTCTTTCTGTATGGCACCTCCCCGGCTCGTGCTGCAAATAGTTGTGCCAGATGACAGTGTAGCATAGGTGACATGTGTTGACTAACATTTTCCGTAGCGGTGAATCTGGTTCCGGGAAGACCACTGTTCGATCTCATCTCCTGACTTCCCTCCTCAACCGGTCCTCGACGCCTCTCTCGAACAAGGTCTCTCTCGCCGCGTACGTGTTTGACACGCTCACGACCACGAAGACTGCGACGACGCCAACGGCTTCCAAGGCTGGTCTCTTCTACGAGCTTCAGTACGACACAACATCGTCAACAAACCCGGTTCTTCTCGGCGCGAAGCTGCTAGACCATCGGCTGGAGCGGAGCAGGATAACAGACGTTCCCACGGGTGAGCGCAACTTCCACGTGCTATACTACCTGCTTTCAGGTACTAGCTCAGCAGAGAAGACCCATCTGGGGTTTGACGGGCCCGAGAGGCGGTGGAAGTACCTGGGCCACCCGACCCAGCTCAAGGTGGGCATCAACGATGCCGAGGGGTTCCAGTTGTTCAAGACTGCGCTGCGGAAACTTGAGTTTCCCCGCAGCGAGATTGCCGAAATCTGCCAGATTCTCGCTAGCATCCTACACATTGGCCAGTTGGAGTTTGAGACGACCTCCAACACCACTGCAACGGGTGACGACAGCGGCGGCTTTTCGCACGAGGGCGGCCAAACCACCACCACTGTGAAGAACAAGGATGTCCTTAGTATCATTGCAGCTTTCTTGGGCGTCGGTGCTGCCGAGCTCCAGACAACACTTGGTTACAAGACCAAGATGATTCACAAGGAGAGGGTGACCGTCATGCTTGACCCGGTCGGTGCGCGGGGCAATGCCAACGAGCTCGCCCGCACGCTATACTCGCTGCTGGTGGCTTATGTGATTGAGAGCATCAACCAGAGGCTGTGTGCCACCGAAGCCTCGATCGCCAACACCATCTCCATTGTCGATTTCCCGGGCTTCCAACAACAGGCCTCGACCGACTCGCCGCTTGACCAGCTGCTGGCTAACGCCGCGACCGAGTCTCTGTACAACCTGACGTTGCAGAATTTCTTTGACCGCAAGGCGGACATGCTCGAGACGGAAGAGGTGTCTGTGCCCGCGACCAGCTACTTTGACAACTCGGACGCCGTCAAGGGTCTGCTGAAGCCCGGCAACGGTCTCCTCAGCATCCTCGATGACCAGACCCGCCGCCACCGTACCGACATGCAGCTACTGGAGAGCTTACGCAAGCGCTTCGAGGGCAAGAACCCGGCCATTGGTGTCGGTGCTGCCACGGCCAAGCTTCCGGGCAGCAACTTTTTCACGGAAAACACCGCCGCTACCTTCACCGTCAAGCACTTCGCTGGTGAGGTCGAGTACCCTATCAAGGGCCTGGTGGAGGAGAACGGCGAGGTCATCTCGGGTGATCTCATGAACCTAATTAATGCGAGCAAGAGCGCGTTCGTTGCCCGTCTCTTTGGCCAGGATGTGCTCAAGACCGTTGTTCACCCGAAGGAGAAGACCACGGTTATGCAGGCCTCGGTCAGCTCCCGCCCAATGCGTGCCCCCAGCGTCATGGTGAAGCGCGGGCGGAATGGCAACCTGGCTGCTCGCAACCGGGCTGCTGCTGCCAATGCCGGGGACCTCTCTGATCAAGGCAGCGACGCCGGCGACGCCAAGCGAGCCAGTACATTCGGTACTTCGGAGCAGGGCGCGTCCGGCCAGTTCCTCTCTGCGCTCAACAATGTCACCAAATCGATCACGGCACCGGGCACGAACTGCTACTTTGTGTTCTGCCTCAAGCCCAACGACAGGCGTATCGCAAACCAGTTCGATAGCAAGTGCGTGCGTGGGCAGCTCCAGACATTTGGTATCGCGGAGATCAGCCAACGCCTGCGCTCCGCTGACTTCAGCGTGTTCCTGCCCTTTGGCGAGTTCCTCGGCCTCGCGGACACCGAGACCATGCTCGTGGGCAGCGAACGCGAAAAGGTGGAGTCGATCGTTGATGAAAAGCGCTGGCCGAGCAACGAGGTCGCCATCGGTGCCACTGGTGTTTTCCTCAGCGAACGCTGCTGGATGGAAATCGCGCGGCTGGGCGATGACTATTCGCAGTCCGGTCGGTACGGTCTGCCTTCCGATGCGGGTGACGGCACGGGCACGCCGGCGGACCCCTTCGGTGTGTCCAAGGAGCGCTTGCTCATGTCTGGCGGCGGTCCCACGCCGAACAACTTTGGTGGTGAGAAGAAGGGCGGTTACTTCAGCAGTGCTACCGAAGTCGACGCCCGGTCAGACGCTGGAGTCTCGGCATTTGGCGCCGGCGACATGTTCAAGAACCTCGACACACGCGAGCAGATGGCGGAGCGTGGCAACGAGAAAGACATGCAGGAGGTCGAGGAGTACCGGGACAGCCCCAGCCGCAAACGCTGGGTCTTCCTGGTGCACTTGCTGACCTTCTTCGTGCCCGACATCCTGGTCCGCAAGCTGGGCCGCATGCCGCGCAAGGACGTGCGGATGGCGTGGCGTGAGAAGCTGGCCATCAACATGATCATCTGGTTCAGCTGTCTCCTCTCCGCCTTCTTCATCGTCGTCTTCCCCATGTTGATCTGCCCCAAGCAATACGTCTTCAGTCCGGATGAGCTCTCTTCCTACGACGGCCAGGACGGCCGCAGTGCCTACGCCGCCATCCGCGGTCAGGTCTTTGACATTGGCGGCTTCATCCCGCGCCACTACCCAAGGTATATCCCGACCAAGATGCTCACCCAGTACAGCGGCAAGGATATTACTTCGCTCTTCCCCGTCCAGGTGTCGGCGCTTTGCCAAGGACCGAACGGCCAGGTCGACGAGTCGGTGCTGCTCGACTACCGGAATTCTAACGTCACCGGGTTGGCGGCTGTTATCAGCGGCCAGGACGTCAACGCCAAGTACCACGACTTCCGCTGGTTCACGGGCGATTATCGCCCAGACTGGTTCTCGCAGCAGATTCAAATGATGAGGTCCAACTACAAGGTCGGCAATGTGGCCTACTCGGCCGAATACGTGTCCACGCTTAGTGGCAAGTCACAGACCATTGCCATCCTTAACGGCCGTATCTACGATTTGACCATGTACGCGGCCAACGGCAGACGGCAACAGAGCCCGCCCGATCAACCGCCACCAACGGACCCGAACGCCGTCAACTTCTTGCACCCGCTCGTGGTCGACCTCTTCGAGCAGCGATCCGGCGACGACATTACTGCGCTCTGGCAGTCTCTTGGCCTCGACAAGCAGACCAAGCAGCGCATGCAGCTGTGTCTCGACAACCTCTTTTACGTGGCCGATGTGGACACCCGTTCGTCTGCCCGGTGCAAGTTTGCCGAGTACCTGGTCCTGGCCGTGTCCATTCTACTAGCCAGTGTCATCGCCTTCAAGTTCTTCGCCGCGCTCCAGTTCGGGACTAAGAACATGCCTGAGAACTTGGACAAGTTCGTCATGTGCCAGATTCCCGCCTACACGGAAGACGAAGAATCCATTCGCCGCGCCGTCGATTCCGCTGCCCGCATGCAGTACGATGACAAGCGCAAGCTGCTGGTCATTATCTGCGACGGTATGATTATTGGCCAGGGCAACGATCGCCCGACCCCGCGCATCGTGCTGGATATTTTGGGCGTGTCCGAGGCAGTGGATCCTGAGCCGCTCAGCTTCGAGTCTCTTGGTGAAGGCCAGAAGCAGCACAACATGGGCAAGGTCTACTCCGGTCTTTACGAAGTGCAGGGCCACATTGTGCCTTTCCTCGTCGTGGTCAAGATCGGCAAGCCGTCCGAGGTGTCTCGCCCGGGTAACCGTGGCAAGCGTGACTCGCAGATGATCCTGATGCGCTTCCTCAACCGCGTGCACTACAACCTCGCCATGAGCCCGCTCGAGCTCGAGATGTACCACCAGATCCGCAACATCATCGGCGTCAACCCGACCTTCTACGAATACCTGTTCCAAATCGACGCCGACACGGTCGTGGCCCCCGACTCGGCTACGCGCATGGTTTCCGCCTTCCTCGACGACACCCGCCTCATCGCTGTGTGCGGTGAAACCGCTCTGACCAACGCCAAGGCCTCCTTTGTCACCATGATCCAGGTCTACGAGTACTACATCTCGCACAACCTGTCCAAGGCCTTCGAGTCGCTCTTCGGTTCCGTCACGTGTTTGCCCGGTTGTTTCTCCATGTACCGCATCCGCGCTGCCGAGACGGGCAAGCCGCTGTTTGTCAGCCGCGAGGTCGTTGAGGCGTACTCAACCATCCGTGTGGACACGCTGCACATGAAGAACCTGCTCCACTTGGGTGAGGATCGTTACCTGACGACACTGCTGCTCAAGTACCACAACAAGTACAAGACGAAGTACATCTTCCGCGCCCACGCTTGGACCATCGCTCCCGACTCGTGGCAGGTGTTCCTCTCGCAACGTCGTCGCTGGATCAACTCGACCGTGCACAACCTGATGGAACTCATCCCGCTCAACCAGCTCTGCGGTTTCTGCTGCTTTAGCATGCGCTTCATCGTCTTTGTCGATCTCCTGTCCACCATTGTTCAGCCGGTTACCCTTGCCTACATCGTCTACCTCGTCGTCATGGTCGCACAGAAGGCAACAGTCGTCCCTATCACCGCGTTTGTCCTCATCGGTGCGATCTACGGTCTGCAAGCCATCATTTTCATCCTGCGCCGCAAGTGGGAAATGATCGGTTGGATGATTCTGTATATCCTGGCCGTTCCCGTGTTCAGCTTTGCGCTCCCGCTGTACTCGTTCTGGCACATGGACGACTTCAACTGGGGTAACACACGTGTCGTGGCCGGTGAGAAGGGCCAGAAGATTGTCATCTCAGACGAAGGCAAGTTTGACCCCGCCAGCATTCCGCGCAAGAAGTGGGAGGAGTACCAGGCCGAGTTGTGGGAGGCTCAGACCCAAGCCGGCGGCCTGCACGACGACAACCGCTCCGAGGCCTCGGGCTACTCCTACGCCACCCGCCCCAACGTCCCCATGTCGGAGTACGGTGGGTACACGCCCAGCCGCCCCGGCTCCATCTCGGGGTACCCAGCCATGCCAGGCGCTGGCAGCCGCATGTCGGTTGCGGCGTCGGAGATGCTCGGCGGTGGTAACAACAACCGGCAGAGCCAGTTTGGCGGGTCGCAGTTCATGGGCCCCGCGCCGTCGCAGCAGGAGCTGGAGATGGCGAACCTGGCGGGCATGCCTAGTGATGATGCCCTCCTGGCGGAGATTAGGGAGATTTTGCGGACGGCGGATCTGATGACGGTGACCAAGAAGGGGGTTAAGCTGGAGTTGGAACGCCGGTTTGGCGTGCCGCTTGATTCGAGGAGGGCTTATATTAATAGCGGTGAGTTCTTTTCTCTTTCTTTTCCTCGGCACCGTTGTTTTTGAGTAACCGTATCACTGACTTATGTTTGTGTGTCACAGCAACGGAAGCAATTCTTTCTGGACAACTGTAGTAGACTGGAAATCGGCGCGCAACGCATGCATGCATAAGGGGTTTTTTCCTCGTTGGTTTCTAAATCTGTTTTGTATCTACTAGCTCTGGGGGTTTTTGGTTTTTTTTTCTTGTTCTCTCTTTCCTTGTCTGTCCTTTTCATTTTTGGGTTGTCTGACCACCACCACCACTACTACTACTACACCTACTACTACACTATTAGTATTATCATTGCCGGCCTTGGCTCCTTTTCTTTTTATTTGCTAATAAGGGAAAGCGTCTTGGCCGGCAGCAGCGAGTTCTGAACTTTTTTTGGTTCTTCTTTCTTCTCCCTGTTTTTAGCATGTGTACTGTCTCTGTGTCTCTCTCTCTCTCACTTGCTCACTCGAGGATGATCGGTTGCCAACCACCGTCATGACATGGTTCGGGATAGTAATAGTACGTGTGTACATACATACATACAAAGCCCAGCTACAGATGGATGGATTGTACGCACTACCTTATCTCCTTTAGTGCCGAGTGGGTGAAGCCCTTTCCTGGTCCTGTTGGTTTGAGGGAAGGAAGACTGGCCGGACATTTCTCTCTCTTTTTTGGTTTGCGCTTTTATCTCCATTGGAAATAATATAATGCTTGCATGGATGGATGGATGGATGGATGGATGGGGTGTGTGTGGGAAGAGAGGTGGTGTGTTGTTGGGAAAGATGGGTAGGGGAGCAGAGAGAATGCAGGAGGGAGGGAGGAGAATGTTAGTTGGAGACGTAGAATGAGAATGAGAAGTTGGTGTTGGTTTTGAAACTTAGTGGTGACTTGTTTTGTGTGTGTCTTTGTGTTTCTTTGGGAGAGTGTGTGTGCGTGTGTGTGTTTACCCGGGCTAAAGTGGTTGCCTCTGATAATAGGTTATTCTTCATTTTAATATCTTGAACTATCAAGGTAGGGACATTGATAGCTATGCACATGTAGTTATAGATTCTCATCCCACAACACGGAAGCTAATTACAACCCATCACTCACCCAGTAACAAAAACACAACCCCCCTTATGGGGAACAACGAACAAAAACAAAAAGAGCTAACTAAATACTCAAATACTCAGAGCTCACAAAAACAAAAGTTATCTGACAAGGGTGAGATTCGAACTCACGCCCTTTCGGACCACGGGGCATCTTCGCTCTTCAGAAGAGGAGGAGTTAATTAAGGATTAATCCTTAACGTGGCGCCTTAGACCGCTCGGCCACCTTGCCTTTTGATTGGATGTTGAAGAACAGAAGTCGGGAATCTGCGTTATGTGCCGAGTGTGCGTGAGGTTTTTTTGGGGTTTTTTTTTTGGTGGGAGTGGAGTTGGGTGGAGTTTGTTTTGGGAAGGGGGTGAGGTTGGTTGGTGGTTGTGGGGAGAGGGTAACCCTAACCCTGGATTTTGGATGAAGGTGAGTTGCCTGCAAATAGGGGTTACGTATAATATCTTCAGCTTAATGGAGTGAAAAGAGGGATTTACATTTCACTGCTCGAGGATAAATGCTCGGCTTCATTGGATATCTACTCAAATCATCCTTAATCACCCTCCACAGGATAACATGAAACCACCCTAGTTACTCTCACTCCTCCCAGTTTGCGCTCAGCCACCCTACTTTTGAGCCACCGCACGCACTTCCTCGTCCAGCGGCAAGATATCCGGGAGCGGTCCGAGAGGGGTGATGGAATACGGGTTGATCTGGGTGTGCGACTTGGTGTAGTGGTTCTTGATGTGCAGGAAGTTGTTGGTGTCGTGGAAGGCCGGGATGTTCCAGTACAGGTGCCGCAGCCAATGGTGGATGGCTGGGTAGCCGGAGCGGATGTCGCGGATGTTGCACTTGAAGTGTTGGACGTAGACGGGCTGTGGGAAAGTTAGCTGAGGGCTGGTTCTCGAAATATGCGGGGTAGAAGGAGCTCGAGGGAAACTTACGTCAAACCGGATGATGGTCACGAACCTATTAGTAGGTAACATGGTTAGTACTGGCTGAGGCTGAAAAGCAAAACAACTGCGGAAAACTCACAAGCGAATATCCACCTCCGTAATAGTCTGGCCAAACCAGAACGGGCCCTCGTGGGCCGTCTTCTTCAAATGCTCCTCGGCATGATCCAGCGCTTCGAACAGAGCAGTTACATTACGCTCATATGCCTCCTGGGTCGTAGCAAACCCAGACTTGTACACGCCGTTGTTGATCTTGTCGTACTGCCACTCGTGCGTCTCGTCGATCTGCTTGCGAAGGGCCTCTGGGTAGAACTCAATTTGGCGGTACTTTTCGTCGATGAGGTCGTTGAACTGTTTTAGGTTAGCCGTTAAATCCCCAAGATCCTCACTCTGGTAAGGGTGAGGGAGAGGGGGAGCAAAACGGAGCCTACAGACCTCAGTACCAAACATGCGCAGAATCTCACTGCTCTCGTTGTTGACAATAGTCTTAGTCTTTTTATCGTACAGCACGGGCACGGTGAAGCGGCCCTCATACGAGGGGTTCACCTGGAAGTAGACGTCACGCAGGTGGGTGAAGCTCTCATGGCCCTCGAGCGGATCCGGGATCACATTCTCACCCGCAGCATCGGTGTCTTCAGCCGTGGGGAAGCGCCAGCCTGGAAAACCCGGCCGTATTAGTACGTAGGGGAAGGCAAGGGTGTGAACTGAGCGGGTGTTACTTTACCCTTGGAAGACATATGCCAATGCACGGCGGAGAAGGAGATGACATCCTCCAGACCCTTGAGCTTGCGCGCAATCAACGTCCGGGTAGCCTGTTCCCATTAGTCTCTAATTATAAGCCACACCGCTAGGAAGAGAGGGGGACTGAAAACAGGGGAGCTACTCACCCACGGGCAAGCAAAGCTCACAAACAGGTGATACCTGCCCTTCTCCGGCGGGAATTCGGCCCCGGCTTCGCGTGAAATCCAGTTACGGAATGAGCTCTGCTGGCGCTTGAACTCGCCAGACTTATCACTAGGCAGGACCCAGTCGGTGATTTTGGTGCCAGAAGCGTTATCCTTGGTAGCCTGGCGTAGGGAGGAAGAGAAGGGGGTGAGAGTTAGTTCATATGTACCACACGTATCATTTTAGGCCCAACACAGTCACCACTTACCATGGTTGCAAGGTATCTAACCCCCAAATTATTTGGCTGATTCAAGAATCGATTCAGGGTGAGAGGCTTGAGAGACGAAGTAAAACTCCGGGACTGTCGACAAGCAAATCTTTTCGTGAATAAGTGTGGCGAGATGCTGTTTCCAAGTCGGCGGATGCCAGTTCTTAAGCTCATCAAGAATAAACGCCCGAGGTTGGATGATTAAGAGATGGTGGTGGTGAGGTGATAAGTAGGTGGATGGTCGTGATAGAGGAGGGGTTTTAAGCTAGACTAGAACCGCTGCGAGTTACCGGATGCGGAATTCGAGCTTGCTGCGTAATGCACGTCTCATATATTATGTACGGGTGCGTGTGGGGAGTCCTGGAGGGGTGCATGAAAATGCGGAAACACATAGTAGAAACCAGCTGAATCAGATCAGACTGATTGCCCAGTTGTGCTGAACGAAAAGCCTCGGCCACTTTCACGACTTGGATCTGTCAGTTGTTAGTCGTCACTGGTTTAGCCTGTGTGGATGCTTGGTAAGCCCCTGCATCTGCTACTGCACTTTGACTAGGGTAACCGCGGTATGTCAGGACTGACATGCACCATGCCAAAGCTTACATTGTAGCTACATAGTCGACGGAAAGACGTATTAGATGAACAGGCGTCTCCAAGTCCCCCAAACCGCCGCTGATAACCTTCGATGGCGTGCATCGCCTTCGTAGTGAAGTCCCGTATGTACCGTTCATGTCTCAACAAAAACTGACAAATGGTGACGTAATTTCACGGTTCCAGTCCCCAAACTCCGCACACGTACCTCCCTAGCGGTTGATGAGTAAGGGACCAATAAGCTAGGGAAACAGGAGACATGGCCGATCAAGCGGATCATATCGTGCTCACTATGTCTCCGTAACATTCAGGTTAGCGGCTAACAGGGCGAAATGTAACATACGCAATGTCTATTTCCTAGCAAGGCCTCGTCAGGCAATCTACAGTTGTACACTCAATTTCGTCCGTATCTCTGTCTCCCCCCCCCCCCCCCGCATTAACATTTACCGGATCTTGGCCTTGATGTACGGCACCTCCACGTCTTCGCCTTTGGCATCCTCCGTGACCACCTCAAAAATGAGCTCCGTCAAGTGCGGAGGGATTGGCTTCTTCGTGACCGCCTCCACCAGCTCGCTGAGCTTCATGCCAAACTTGTCCTTTTGCTTTGCCGGAGGGAAGAAGGATGCGAACAAGAGGCTGACACCAGAGCTCAGCATGGCAATTGTCAACCCACGCTTCTCAAAGTCGTCGATCAGTTCTTGCAGCGTGACGTTTCCGATCTCAAACCGATCCCAAATCTTATCCAGCGTCACCTTGCCGTTGGGCCCTTCATACTCCACCTTGGGGCTGGCGATGGGCTCGCTGAAACCGAAGAAGGGTAGCGCTAGGTTGATGAATCCGTTCTTGAACTGTTCAATGTCGGTCTTCCCGTCGATGATCTTGAACAGCTCTAAAACGACCAGGCCCGTCACGAGCGCGGTGGTCGTCGCAATCGCCGGGATAATCTTTCCGGCAATGAATTTCGTTTTGTGTCGGTCCGCTTGCTCAATCTTGTAGTTCTCGGCGCGCAGGTTGCTTGCGGCTGTGATGAAGTCGATATGGTAGTTGGTGTCATCGTCCTTCTCAAAATCCACCGGCGTCAACTTGAAGCCAGCCAGTGTCTTAGGATCCGGCAGGCTGTTGACAAGGTTCCTAAGTTCGGACTCATCATCAAAGGCCGCAGCACCAGCGTTCGGGTCCTACATCGCGTTAATTAGTCAGGTTGAAAATTTCTCTGCTAGAACCAGCTTACCGGGTCTTTGTCATCCGCCTGGATCTTGACACTGGCGTCTGGCGAGAAATCCGGAATGATCATCGAATCCAGGGCCTGGATGTAGTCTTGCCTCGTCTTGCCCTTGAGGTTGATGTTGTAGTTGAAGGCGTGTAGATTCGTTGCCGCCTCGACGAACGAAAAGTGTGTCTTGTTCCCAGCATCGAACTTGAGCGGGTCGGGGGCCCGCTTCGGTCCCGACCAGAACGGGGTGCCCGTTGAGGAGGTGGAATCTTTGGGGAAATTGTAAAGCAGTTGCTGGATCGCGTTGTTGTACTGCTTCTCAAACAGCGTGCGAGCCCACTGAACGCAGTCCTCAAACGTGAGAGCCCGCTCGTTCTTAAGGTAGTCGACAAGCGTCTCAAGCGTCGCCTTCTCGTTTCCGCCCTGCTTCAGCGTCGTCTCCAAGTAGTTAGGTTGTGTGAGGTAGAGATTTGCCGTCTCGGCCGGCTTCACGAATGAGGTCTCAAATAGCTCACGGGCCCACGCAATGGTGTGCTCGATCCTGTTGGGGAAACTCCGCAGCGTGCACATGGGGAACGACTGCTCCGGAGGGTCCTGCGACGAGGAGTAGGACTCCGTAAGCAAGGGGAGGACCACTTGCGTGTTGCCCTTCGTGCCCAAAGTACCACTTTCCAGCAATGGCTTGTGGAAGAAGACACAACGCCGATCCACGTACGTCCTCGCCTCGACGTTGTCTAGCGCATTGGTGACACCATCCAACCCATTCCAAAAGTCCTCGTTGAAGATATGCTCCGTATCGGCGCCGACGCGATCCTTCAGCGTGACGATGTGGCCTTCAAGTTCGGGATTCATGACCTGTGCGGCTCTAGCAGCGCACTCGCTCTTCATCTGGCCGACATCCTTGGGTCGGAATAGGAACTGCCTGTTCAGGTTGCTCTTTTCAATCGAGTCCATGTCGGTCACTGTGATTTTGCCCTTTTCGCCGGTTCCGAGGCCAATCATCGCCCAGTTCTTGAGCATTTCACAGCCAATGGCCCCAGCACCGACAAGGAATTGGTTGATGTTTGCAATCTTGTCCTGGAACTCGCGACCAAAAACAGCGATTTGGCCATCGTAACGGGAACCACTGGGCTTGCAGAGCTCCTCAGATCGGGTAGACCCGGCCGGGAGGGACTCCAGAGAGTCGAAGTACAGGAACTGCTTGACGGGATGGAACTTGCCCGATACGGCCTTGAGCACCTCCTGGGCAGTGAGGCCACCAAAGAGTGCCGCCATCGGGCTGAGATCGCCCGTTGCCTGGTAACTGAGCTCCTTGAGTAGCTTCTCATCGAACTCCACCTCGATACCCTCCGACTGCGCAAAACCCTTCGCCGAGTGGAAGATGACGGTCGCATCCTCGTCATTCAGAGGCCGCGGGAGACGCCCGTGGGTTTGAGCGAAAGCGTGCAGCGCTTGGATACCAATATGCAACTGCTGAGGTCGGTCGAACTTGGCGAAATCGGAGATGACAAACTCGGGGTCTTTCAACGCTTCAGTAATGCCCTTGAAGTCCACAAACTTGGGCATCTTGACTTGTTGATAGAGACCACCCCTCTTGTATTGGCCAAGACCGGACACATCACCGATCGAGAATGTGTAGGGCCCCTTGACTGTCACCTTCCGCGGCTCGCAACCGTTAAGTCCCTCCATCCCCTCAACTTCTGTGAATGTGACGTAGTCGCCATCTTCCAGCCCGTGCCGTGTTTCGTCGAGGGCTGAAACCAGTCCTGTGTCGTCGATCCCGGCCACGATACCGTTCAAAGGGTTCTCGCCAGTCGGGTCGATGATGGTGAAGTTCTCGCCGAAATCGCAAAACACAGAGCCAAAAAGACCGAAAGTGTCTGCCACCACAAAATAGATGCCCTTCTGGTGGCAATAGTCGCCAACCGTTTTCTGGGTGTGGAGAGGGGTATTTGTGAGGACAACAACTTGAAATTGATCAAACTGGGCGAGGTTTTCGTCGAGGCTGTACCCAAACGCATCCATTAGCTCTCGCCCATATCCGGAGCAAATATAGTCACGGTGAAATGGAGACATACCTTGCTGACTCGTGGACGCGCACGGGGGTGTAAGCGTTCAACTCGGCAACCCGGGGGGCAGTGGTCCGGTCGCGCGGCTTGCCTACATCCTCGGCGCGGAGGAAGAACTGGGAGGAAAGATCCGCGATGGCGGCCGGCGCCGGGTCGTGGAGGGTAAGGCTCTTGACACCGGCAAGAGCGATGTTTTTTGCGATCTCGACACCGAGGCCCTTAAGGCCAACAATCAACACGTTCGAGGCGCTCATGCGCTTCATGGCCTCGTGACCAAGCACGTAGAGCTGTCGGCTATAGAGAGACTCATCGATCTCGGTTGTTCCCACGACGGACTCATCCACCTGCATGCGGGTGACGAGGTCGACCTCGCCGGGCTGCTTTTTGTCCTGTAAAAACATCGTTAGAGTTGTCGCCAGCCAAGATCTCCGTCGTTGGACTATCGTTGTGGGAGATGGCAAATGAAAGAGGTGTCTAGGGAGTGCTTGAGCCAAGAGGCCGCCGTCGAATGCACGAAGCAGGTTTACCGAAGATGCTGTGACGCAGCGCCGGTTTCGAAATCCTCGGAGATCGACCTCTCGGAAAGTGTAAACAAGATTAGCAGGCTAGTAACTCACAGTCATGGTTCGTTTGAGGGAAATGGCCAAATCCCCGTCGGATACTTTGCGCTTCCCCAGCTTGACGATATGTTGTTGGATGTAACGAGAGAAGAAAGAAAAGAAGGCTTGCGGTTTGTTGTTGTTTGGTGTTTGGTAATCAGGATTGGTGTGGAAGGCGCAGGAAGAAGGTTGGATGTCAAAGTGCAAGGCAGGCACCACCACAGCCCCGCTGCTGGCGGCCTGCGGGGTGGTGACGCTGCGCAGGGTGGGGTACTCGGTAGCATACTTAAATATTTTGCAGCTAACCCAATACAGTAGTATCCAAACCCATTTTATCACTATCCCCGACTTAAATTCGGACGGTTACTGCGGGATGGCACCAATTCTTCACGGGCTCATCGGTTCGGGTAATTTTCGGGGCCTTCGATGGACGTCAGGTTTGTTTTCTTCAATTACTCACATTCTTGCCTCCTCTACATGCCGTCGTTACGTTTGATACGGCACCACTCCTCGATTCTTACTTTACTTTAAGCCTTCCCTAGCCTCCTCTTACCCTTTCAGTAACCCGGATGGTAAAACAAGCTGTTAGTTTTAAATAGTAATCACTCCTCAATCTTTTCAGCAATTTTTACACAGCCCGTTCATCTGGATGTCAATAAGGCCGAATTACACTTGGCGACTTCTACTGCCAAAGCGGGCAGGGCTCAGGCCAAATGGACAACGCCTGGCGAAGTCAAACAACAATCTAGCTCCCCACCATTCAAGGGTTTCGGGTGTCCTGGTCTGCCCGATTATTGTGGCGATGGTTTGACAAATCGTTCTTTTGCGGACCTCCGTGTCGGGAGATATCCTGTCCAGGACCCGCCATTGTTCCTGTCCCAGCTTCATCCCCTGACACATCTTGGGCCGTTTTGTACACGACGCTGCCCCATTAATCATACACGCGGGGTGACATGTTTTTCGTCTACGTATCAACTCAGCGGCCAAAGGAACAAAGGGTGAGGCTTTTAAGATCAGGACAGACGGGTTGTGGCCCGGAACTCAGCCGAATGGGGTGCATTTTGGGATGGCAGTGTCAGATGGGTCTGACACCGCGGGTATGGTCCGCTTGGGACTGGTTGTTGATGTGACGAAAGGCTGAAATAGGGGACGTTGCGGGACCACGCCCGTCTCCGTGATCGTGGGGGTAATTAACACCCAACTGGCGCTTCTCAGCAAGACTGAGACAGACGCTGCATACACAGACAGTATTGCGGTTCCGGCGGCCGCGGCAGCCGCTGCGAGGGGTAGTCTACTTGAATGCCCAGCCTGGGCCTTGACCCCCTGGGTGAGTGGAAATGTCTCAGAATTTAGTGATCAAAGCATGCTTGCGCGTTTACTCTGGCTTTTGACTGGAAAGGGAACGGAAAAAAGGAGAGATGATCGAAGGATTTTCTTCCACCAACGCCCAACACGTGTACATGTCCTTAGTCAAGACAAAATACGGGGCAAACATAATGCCAATATCCCTCCCCCCCACAACCCCCCACAAACACCCAGAACATGTTAATGAATTCTCACGAGATGTACGTCGCTGCCGAACCTGTTAGAGAGCTACACAACAACTGAGAGCGAGCCTGAGGAATCCACCCACAAAATTAAGTCCGCGTTCGGAGGGATATGGCCGTGGAAACCCCTATCATACAGCGTGGTCAGTTCAGGACTTCAGGGCCCCCGGATGACCATTTTTATGGACGTGATGGTGGTTATACATTTCCCCGTAGCCATAATCACTACGTGCGAAGAAAGAATCAGCATTCCTTTCTACAACTCATGGGGGGGCAAAACAAGGGCCCTACCTCGTGATATCAAGTGTTGCGTGCTCGCCTTCTCTCATCTCGAAAAGAGCTTCTTCGAAGCCTAGGAGGGTAACCAGTTAATACTCCCTGCTGGACATTCTCCTTGCCTCCCACTAGGTAGGGGGAGGGGGGGGTCGGAAGGTGGGATTATTTCCTACCTTTGATATGCTTCCCGGCGCCAACCTCGGCTTCAAACTCGGATGAGTCGAATCTAAAAGGGGTTGTATGTCAGTCATTTGCGCCCAGCTAGCAACGGATATCAGGTCAAAAGGCCATCAAGCTCGCCGGTCTGGCTGACACATACTCGTCCCCCTTGTTTTCTGGCTTCGACGTGTCTTTCAGCCAGCCGGTAAACACGACAGTGACCGTTTGGCCCGTCACTGGTTGCGGCCCGGTACCAGTAACGCGGGTCGTCCGTGTTACGCCCATGGTTTGTGTAAGTGGGACAGAGGACGGTAGGATGTTCGTGGCCCTTGAGAATTTTCTAAGAGAGACAGGCGCGGTGGTTGGTCTCGGAGAGCCCGTGCTTGATCGTTGGGGCCTTCTTGCCCCCTTTGAGCCCGCTGTGGCGAAGCTGAACAAATCTCCGGCGGGAAGCGGCGAGTGAGGATATCGGTGTAAATAATTACTGTGGGGTGACTCGGGAGAACGGATACAAGGAGAGCGAACATCGGGTCAACTTGGCGGGCGAACAGATATATATATATGTGCCTGGTGGACGGGAGGGACGGGACCCAAGCGGCCGTATGTATTCTATTGCTCCACGATCTGCTCTATCACAGTGGCCTGGGGCATCTCTACATCGGGCATCATCCCTCCAACCAGAGCATCGTCACGGTGGGTTGTGGGCGAAACAGAGGTATTTTGTTTTTGGGCCACGCAGCTTGCCGCGGGAGGTACCTTGTGGGATACATCCCGCAAGCCGAGGCACCCACACACTGGGAGAAAAGGGGGACGGTAGCAAGTCCCTGCCTTCCCGCGCAGATCACGCTCCACGGCGGGCCAGATGGATCTGTCATGTCTGGGGTACCTTCCTTAGTAAGTTTCGGCTGCACATTTGAGTCGGGTATACCTACTAACCAGGAAGGAAAGACTCATCGACACCTTGTGCTAGAGAGTTTGGAAGGAAAGAACGAACGATTTTTTAAATGGCCTTGGGCTCGTCCACAGCCATCTTACACAAAATGACACCGGTCCCGGTTAACTTTCCTTATGTGTACCTCGATATTTCCAGGTTATCTGTTAGTTCGAGTGTATCCATGTGTGTGGTTTGGCAGGCAAGCATTTCGCGCGGGGCTGAGGTAGGTACCGTGGGGTGGGTTGCCGGGTTCGGGCTATTCGGGTTTGGGCATCCACCCCTCTCGTTTTTTCTTCATCACTCACTCGTCCAGTTTTTCCTCCTGCACAAATCGACTGCTGCATCTTGCATCCTGCCAGCGCGATCATCGTTCCCGGGACCAATAGTCTAACGGGATTCCGGCGGTCTACCAAGAAGGTTGCATGCACGAGTTATGTATGTACTCCGCCCATGATGCGGCCGCAGGCTGGCCATCGGAGGGTCTTTCTGGGACATCCATACAACGGGCGAACTAGGAGACCAAGACATTATTGTTCAACAATTGAGACTGATTAAAAGAGAGATACGCCTTACCCATACTTGCCCCGCTTCTGCCGCCGAACCGTTGGCTGAACTGCCCTATTATTAATTTTTTCCGGTTCTTGGGCACGCATCGTCGTGCCCCGCCCTTCACGACGTCCTCCGTCCACACGCCTGCCCATCACATGCGGTTTTACATTTTTAGAGTACGGCTGTCTTGTGGGCCTGGAGGTGTGTGGATGCCGTTGAAGGGCGCTCTCAACCTCATACCATTGGTGAGCTTTCCTGGCCGGTGCCGGCTCAGGTTGACCTTTGGCCATCGCCGGAGAGATGCCCGAATCCGAAGCAGTCTGTGACTAGCATCGGTGCGGGCAGATCTGCAAATCTGACGACTCCGATCCGCAGTTAACTAATGCATGCGCTGGTGATCATATCCACCAGCGCACCGTGTCCGTTACCCGCGTTGCACATGGACGATGGGAGCAAACATGCGGTTGCCAACCGACGGGTATCGAAGATGAGGTGCAGCAGAGCGCGCGTGGTTGGGCGTGGATGAGCGAACCGGCGGTCCTAGTTTGGGATGAAATGCGTTGACTTTCATTCACAGGTCGATGCCACCCTTTTCGCCACGCTATCTCCGTGGCTAGCCCACGAGTTCGCAACCACTCAATGTTCATGACCTGGGTGGGAGGAGGGGAACCGGCGCGTTAGCAACCCCCTGAATCTACCCACGCTAGTCGTTGTGTGGCCGCCCGATGGATTAGTTGACCTCGTGCGGCGGGGGCGTATTCAACGGCGTCGTTGTTTGCTTTTGCTTTCGGCGCCGTGATAAACCGCGCAGTTATCGAGGCTAGTCGCCTCGTCACGACCATGTCTTTAGGGGGCAGGCAGTTCCCGACTAAACAGACGCCCGAGACGAGACGCTCCAGGCTAGAGCACAGGGAAAAGCGGGCCGGATATCTGCCGTCAAAGCTGACACAGAGAAGGCGTCTGACAAACGAGACATATGTTGCCCTTCCCCTTGGCATGAAGAAACCCAGTCCCGCCTTGAGTGCAAGGGTTCAGCACGGGCGATGGCATATGATGTCTTGATCTGCGCAACTTTTAGTTCTTGGCCTTGTCTTATCCCACCCGCAGAACGCGCCAAATTACACTACGGTGACCCCATCTTGAGTATGGCAAGGTCTTTTTTGAACCGGAACATCCTGTCTCGGCACTTTGAGGGGGTTCCTAACTCAGACGGCTTTTCTCGGATTCACGACTCACATGCCCCAATGTTTAGGACACGCTACTGCACTGATGATTATCTCCGCTAACGTCTGCCCAACGACCCTAAAGCCGCCTTGGACGACTCCCCACAACCAGTT